TATGATCATTAGGGGTTGCCGACACTGGGCAGTGTTAGTTGTAAATGAATAATTATATTTTGATTAATGTGTAATCACTGGACCAAATGCTTTGCATGTAGCTAAGGAGAGAGAGAGAGAGTACACATTTTAATCACAATATAGTATATAGTGTGCACTTGTCCTTTGCCTTACTTAAAGACTTGTTGAAAACGACAACTTTGGGTTTGTTAGCTTAATGTCGTTCATGAGCGCAAGTACATGATAGTGATGATGATGATGATATCGTTGAGCTAGCATGGCTTGATGCCTTTTTGGCTTTAAGCAGCACTACATGTGTTGTCAAATGTCATCACTACCAACTAATATCATCAAAGGCCATTGTTGACATTCCCAGATTTGTTAGGTCTACGTTCCCAACATTGCTTCTGAACAAGCCATGAGGGTAGCTACTATAGTCTTTGATTCATTTGCCAAAATTGATAACTCGGTTTGTTGCAAATAAATCGGAGTTTGATATGTGTGCATATATTTTTCTTTTTGTACTTTAATGTGTTATTTTTACATATGTAAAAGAATGTAATTTGTAAATAAGGATAAGAATGACTCGTTACTTGTGTGGGCGCATAAATTCTGAAGATATTTAAATCTCGTAATAGCTGAAAGTAGTATGGAAGAATCCTACTAAAGACTTATTACATTCTTTTGACCTAAATGATGCGACAATTGATATGTGTATGTAATTACTGGTGTTTAGCTATTAATTTACCCATTCACTTGCTTCTTCAATGTACCTTGTGCAATAGTTAAATTATTAATGTACGACCGTAAATGTAAGTTAGGTAAGTTAATTGGGATAATGTGACGGTTTAAACTAATGCAACAAAGGATACTTAATATAAAAGAAAAGGCTAAAGGAAAGGGAAAAAAGGCAAAAGGGCAAAAGGGATCAATAATTGTTGCCAAGAAATTGAAATAGTTGATGGGACAGTGCTGCAATGGCCTTTAGGCTTTGGCTTTCTTTCGAGCAACTCAACCCAAAGCCTAATCTCGTCCAATTTGTCCCCACTCCTTTTCCAGAGGGTCATGAGCAAAAACAAGAGGCTTGGATGGTTTCCACTTCAAGGGAACCAATCCCATTGGGTAGGAAGATACGAGCCAACAGCTATCTTCAAAGCAAAACGCAGTGTTCATTCTATTTTGGGTAGTCATCAATTGGCATTATACATGCTGCATTTCCAAGTCATTTCGTTTTAGATACGCTGCTTGATGAGAGTTGGAATTCACCTAAGTCCAGCTAATGTTTTATCTCAAGTCAAACAAAAGATTTCTAACTCAAGGGCAGCCCAATTAAAAATGGTTACGTGTTAGATAATAAATTGACTTGTGATTTGAAAGTAATTAATCCTACTAACCCTAGCTTAAGCTGGATTAATTAGCCTTGCAAATTACACCCCAATGTTGACTATTAAAGTCTAGAACACACAACCTTGCAAATTGCAATAGATTATGGGAGTTTGGAACATAAAATAATTAATTTACATTTTTTTTTCTATTTTGCATTGGATTCTTAATTCTTTTCATCTTCTGTCGGTGGCCATCATTGGCTAATTAGTCGATCAAAACACGTGCCAAAGACCAACTGGTACTCTACTGTTTCATCATTCATCAACCAATTAACAACGATAAAGTAAGAAGCCACATTTCGACCCAGAAAAGAAGAAGAAGCGACATTCTAACTTGCACTAATAACACAAAAATTTCCAGCCAAAAAGAAAACACGAAATTTGAGGGCCCACATGTTACAGGGTGGGCTAAATGGGGATTTACATCAGAGAAATTATTATATGATACTGAAAGAAATATAACTGTGGTATAATTCTTCGAAATTGAAGTAATAAGATTAAAAACTGGTATATTTTTGTCTCAAAAAAAGTATGTGATGGATTTACTCATTAAAACAGGCATGCTTGGATGTAAAAACTGGTATATTTAGTCAATTTATGCATTCACTTCGTGTTTCTCATAAAAATGCAGTTTATCGGATGTTAGGATAATTAAAATCAACCCCTAAAAAAGAATTAATGTTCTCAAAGATACCAGCGCGGAGTTATACCAAGCAACCAAACTCCTTCGTCCCGTACCACATTATAATTACTTGTGTACAATTATTATCTGGCACCTCCTGGCTGCAGAGAAAATTTCCGAGAGAGGTAGGTAGGTTCATTCAACTAATTCATGATTGATTACTACAAGGTTTGGTTAAATCCATTCGCATTGCATTGATGACGCTTAGAAGAAGAAGAGCGCCACGTCAAAATGGGGCCCACAGAGCCACACGTATGCGATAGACCCCACATGTTACAATCATAGTGGTTGGGGCCCTCGGCCACAGGAGAAACTTTCCGACTGGGCGATTGATACAGCTGGCTGTTCCTAGTTTTGTCTGGTGGAGGTTGGAAAGCAAAAGATATTAAACCCAAAAATTTGAATAATAAATAAAAACAAAATTGAAAAAAAGAGAGTAGATAGAGCAAAGCAAAGCATATATAATTTGTTTTTATTTTATATTTTACATGCGGTCCAGATTGTTTAAGATACGAGTTGATCGTACAGTGCCAGAGGTGCCACGTGTCAAGAGGACCCCACCAGACTGGCAGTGGAATTGATTTTGTGTCTGTGGCTTTCAGTAGCTGTCAGATTAGTAGTAGCCCTATAAATAATAATATCATTTTTTTTTATGCTCTTGAGTCTTGGGGTTAAGAGCCTTGAGGGGACTTCTTGTGAAGTGCTATTTTGTCGGTGGAATTGGGCTTGGGCATAAATAAATATAAAAAATAAAAAATAGCCCGCGAGATTTTCGTGCTAAAGTGAAAGGCGGGCTGCCTTCAACTTTCAATTCTGTGAAGCAAAAATCGTAACTTTTTCTTATTTTTCTGAAATTTGGGGTGTATTTTTGTGATGGCAGAAGACAAAAGTTTTTTTATTTTGATTGTGATATAAGCAAATTGTCTGCAATAAGTGCATATTGTCTGCATTAGATGACATACTATTACAATTCATTTTATTTAATAAAAATTGAAGAATGTGTTCATCACTTTGCATCCGAGTTCGAATCCCCTTCTATATAATTTAGATTAGATTAAAGTAGAATATTGCTTAATTGAAGAATGTTTAACGAAAACAAAAAGTGTTTACCTATAAAAAAGGACCCATTTGTTTTGACCCCATGAGGAATGAATGAGGTAGAAAAAGATTTTGTGAAGTACTCATTTAGGTTTTCATCATTTGGGTTTGGTAGGTGAAGGTCATAATATTTCATCTTTTTCTGGCCTTAAAATGTGATATTTCATAATATGTGATACTTGAGCATGAAGTTTGAAATTGATTGAGTTTTTCAAATTCATGTGATATGGGTTGATGATGAAAATTAATTTACCATTAGAACCATGTATATAATAGGAATCATGTTAATGATCTGGGTACTAATGGATTAGCCCAACCCAGCCCATAAACAAAATCATATGTAAATCCCAATCCACATCAATCTGTAAAGCCCAGTTGTTGTTTTTTTTTGGGGCTAAGGCAGCCCAGCAGTTCACCCTTCCAAATATGCCATTTGTTTTAAAACTTGTCAATAATTATTATCGAATTTTTTTGTCATTGTGTTTTGTCTGGATTTTAATTTAGATTGGTGTGATTTTATTTTGAAAATGTTCTCTAATTAACTTTAAATCACAACTAAAAACTTTGTTTAAACTCAAGAATATTATTCAAGGGTTATTGAAATCATGTTGATAGCGATGACTTTGATTTTCAAGCAAGAAATCAAAGAACTCGCAAACTTGGTGTTCAAATTCTAACAATACTTTTAGAAAGCTAATAAGTTGAGTGGTATTTGTCTGCACTTATTTGAAGGAGGTCTTAGGTTCGACTCACATAAATAACAAGATCAATATATATTTTTGACATCAGTTTGATACCTAGTTACTTGTGGCTACTAGCTAGCGTCATTGTGATGGTGTAGGCTTATTGTTAATGTATTAGCCCATTGTAGAAGTGTCGTGTAATTATGCCAACAGTTTATAAAAACAAAAAATGTAGTAATTGATTATCTACAATGACAACATAACCTCCATCAGTCCATGACCAATAGTAAATTAATTAGTAAATTGTAATGGTATCTCATTGGACGCATTTCCATCTTAGGTTTACCATGAACATACCAAACATATTGAGCTTGATTGCCACACTGTACGAGAAAGAATTCAAAAAGGAGAAATCAAGACAACATACATGCAAATTGGAAAACAGATTGCTGACATTTTCACGAAGCCATTGGGACAAGCTGTTTTCCATTCACATCTCAACAAGTTGGGTGTTTTGGATATTCACACTTCAACTTAAGGGGGAGTGTTAAAGGAAAGAATCAAGTAATATTTGATAATCCACACTCCAACTTGTGTGCGAAAATTGATAATCCACACTCCAACTTGTGTGCGAAAATTGGTTTGGAATTGCATTTAAAAGAAGTTGTCCGAAAATGAAATGCCCTCCTTCATCTTCAAAAGAAATCACTCAGTGACCGAAGACTTGGACTTCCATTGGACGTTGGACTTGGAGATAGCTGACAAGAGAAAAACGTGCTCGCCACTACACGGTTTTGCAACACTCTCTCTCTCTCTCTCTCTCCTCTCCTCTCTCTCTCTCTCTCTCTCTGTTAGCTTTGCTTCTTGTTGCTGGTGAGGAAATTCTTTATTATCGTGAGGGAAATATCAAGTAATTGCCTGCATATTTCCTTGAATTAAATCTCACCACAATTTTACCAAGAAAGCAACCATCCTGTAGAAACAGAGTTTTCTATATTATCAAAACTGATATTACAATCTCTTTATACACAGGAACATAAACGTAAACCTATCAGTTACTACAATCTAATAATAGCATAACAGCTGCCATATCAGTTACTACAATATAATAATAATAGCATAACAGCTGCAAGCAATTATATGCAGTCATAATTAGGATAACGGCCTAACATTCCCCTGCAAACTGGACACCGGATAGGTGACGAGTTTGGAAGCAAGACGTTCAAAACGGTCAGCTGGTAACCCTTTTGTGAAGACATCTGCAAGCTGAAGTTGAGAAGGAAAAAACTGAACTTTATGACTGCCAGAGGCGACCCGTTCACGGACAAAGTGATAATCAATAGCAATGTGTTTTGTACGAGCATGGAAGACAGGATTAGCGGCTAAGTATGTGGCAGACAGGTTGTCACAGTTAAGTAAAACCGGACGAGTAAGCGGACAACAAAGTTCAGTTAAGAGACCTTGAATCCACAAAGTATCTGCACAGGCATAGGCAAGAGCTCGATATTCGGCTTCGGCACTAGAACAGGAAACGGTGGGCTGCTTCTTGGCACTCCACGAAATGAGGTTCGGTCCCAAGAAAACACAATACCCGGTTGTGGACCTGCGAGTGTCAGGACATCCAGCCCAATCTGCATCGGAATAAGCGACTAAGAAGGAACAGTCAGGAGACCTGCGAACAGGAAGGCCAACTCCAAGGGTGCCTTTTAGATAACGTAAAATCCGTTTGACAGCTTCAAAATGAACATCACTGGGTGATCCCATAAATTGAGACACATGTTGAACAGCGTATGAGATATCAGGACGAGTCATGGTGAGATATTGTAAGGCGCCAACCATCTGTCGATAAGGGGTAGGATCCGCAAGGACAGTACCATGGGTCTGAGAAAGAGTACCTTTGGAAGTCATGGGTGTAGAAACAGGTTTGCAGTCCAAGAGATTGCTACGTTTGAGAAGATCAATGGTGTACTTGTTTTGAGTAAGATGGATGCAAGTAGGGTGATAATGGACCTCCACACCAAGAAAATAATGCAAACGCCCCAAATACTTGTTTTGCAGTCCAAATAACTCGCCTGATCCAATCAAAAGAAAGCACTCATTGAAAAGCAAAAGAATCATGTCGCTTTCTTTTATGGGGTTCTTCCATAAAAAAATAAAAAAGATAAATGACTCCCATTGGTGAAAAGAGAAACCGTGTTCTCACCACTACACGGTTTCCAAGTCTCTCTCTTTTCTGAGGCTGCTAGCTTTGTTTCTTCTTGTTGGGTTCTTGGCTGATCTTGAGAAGTTGTATATTTTGAGAGTTTCTGGCCGGCTTGCTGGTATTAAAAATTCTCTGGCTCTGTAATTTTTTCGGGGTTGAGGTAACACTAAGCTAAACTTGTTGGCTTGCTTCGACTAGATTTCCATATCTGTTTTGTTCAGGTAACGTTGACTAAAGCGTATGCAATTTTTAGTTCACTTGTGTAGTCATGAGGCTTATATTTTTGTTTTAAATGTTGAAATTTGTATTTTTGTTCCTTCTAATGTTTATTGTTGAATTCCTCTGTTTCTCTCTGTTGAAATACAAAACATATATAATTTTCCCATTCCTCTCTGTTTCTCTCTTGTTGTTTCCTTTTCTTTGCTCTGAAACTTGTTTCCACAACGTCCTTATTTCTCCTCTGGTTTAAATTATAATCCTTTTATTTTTTGCCGTTTCTCATCATCTTTCTATTTAGTTAGCAAAAGGCTTATTTTCATTGAGTGTTTTCAGCAGCAGCAGATTGCCAAATGGCATTGAGCACCCAAAGAGACCCTTCCTTTCTTCCTTCACCTGATCAGTCTGCTCCTCAACCGAACCACGATGTGTTTTTGAGTTTCAGGGGTGAGGACACTAGAAATAGCTTTGTATCCCATTTATACCATGAATTGCAGCTCAGGGGCATTAAAACATTCAAGGATGATCCAAAGCTTGAAAGAGGGACAGCTATTTCTTCGGGGCTCTTCAACGCAATCGAAGAATCAAGGCTTGCAATCGTTGTCCTCTCGCCAAATTATGCATCTTCTTCCTGGTGCTTGGATGAGCTTACAGAGATTCTCCAATGCACGAAACCCAAGGGCACAATTCTGCCAGTGTTTTATCATGTGGATCCCTCCGATGTGAGAAAACAAAGCGGCAGTTTTGCGTGCGCGTTCGCTGAGCATGAGGAAAGGTTTAGGGAAGACAGAGAAAGAGTGAAGAGCTGGAGAACTGCTTTAACTGAAGTGGCCAATTTATCTGGGTTTGATTCAAAGAATGAGTAAGTTTTTTCGTAAGCCATTTGATGTAACTTCAAGTGGCGAAGTTATATGTATGTCCTATATTTTAGACTTCATGATCGCTTTTACTTTTCCTCCTTGTAGGTGTGAAAGAAGGCTTATTGAAAATATTGTTGAATGGGTGTGGGAGAAAGTGCATCACAGATTCAAATTGTTAGATTCCAAAGGGTTAGTGGGAATGAAGTTTATACGTGAGCAAGTAGATTTGCTTTTAGCTCATCCTACGGATGATGTTCGCTTTATAGGGATATGGGGGATGGGCGGAATTGGCAAAACAACCATTGCTCAGCTAGTTTATGATAGCATTTCTACCCATTTTGAAGTTAGCAGCTTTCTTGCTAATGTTAGAGAGGTTTCTCAACGTGGTAATCTTGTTGATCTACAAAGACAACTTCTTTCCCCAATCTTAAAGGATCAAATTACTCAAGTTTGGGATGAACAGTGGGGAACCTCCGTCATTAAGAATTGCTTGTATAATAAAAAGGTTCTTCTCATTCTTGATGATGTGAGTGAATCAAGCCATCTTGAAAAGTTGGCTGGTGAAAAGGATTGGTTTGGTAAGGGGAGTATAATCATTATTACAACTAGAGATAAACGGTTGCTAGTTAAACATGATATACATATATCATATAAGGTAGAGGCGTTAGGTGATGATGATGCTCTTGAGCTCTTTAGTCGGAATGCCTTTAAAAAAAAAGCCTGAGGAAGGTTTCTTGGAATTGTCCAAGGGTTTTGTAAATTATGCTAGAGGCCTTCCACTAGCTCTTAAACTTTTGGGATGCTTAGTGTATAAGAGAGATCAAGATGAATGGAAAAGTGAATTGGATAAGCTGCGGAAGATTCCTAAGTCAGAAATTTTTGATTTGCTCAAACTAAGTTACGATGGACTAGATGAGATGAATAAGAATATATTTCTTGATGTTGCATTTTTTCATAAGTGGAAGGGCAAGGGGAAAGTAATTGAAATACTAGACAGTTGTGGCCTATGTGGTAATATTGGGATAAATGCTCTCGTTCAGAAATCACTCTTAACTATATCAGATGGGAATGTTGGGATGCATGATTTAATACAAGAAATGGCATTGGAAATTGTTCGTCGAGAGTGTCCTAATGAGCCTGGTAGACGAAGTCGATTGTGCAGTCATGATGATATTTCTCATGTATTCATAAACAATACGGTAAGAAGTTATATAAAAGATACTAAATTTTGAAGATTTATGATTTCTCTTTAACACAGTATTAGACTTAATTAACGATACTTTTGATGTATTCATAAACAATATGATAAGAAGTTATATATAGTTTTGGAAGATATATGATTTCTCTTTAACACATTATTAGACTTAAATGTGGAATTAACTTTTCTTTTGCTATTCTTAATTACAGGCAACGGACAAAATTAAAGGCATCATATTACACATGGCGACACCTGAAAAGGCAAATTGGAATTGTGAAGCCTTCTCTAAGATGCTTAACCTGAAATTTCTTGAATTTGATAATGTGATGATTTCTGCAAGCCCCAGAATTCTTCCTAATTCCTTGAGAAGTATCAAATGGAGTTGGTATCCTTCCAAATTTCTCCCATCAAGTTTTCAGCCGAAATTCCTTATTGCACTTGAGATGCCTGTCAACAAACTTGTTCGGCTTTGGGATGGAAGAAAGGCAAGAGTAGTGACCATATGCCATTCTAGAAATTAGTTTTATTTATTTATTAATAAATATTTTGTTTTAAAAATTAAAATACATCTGAGCTAATTATCTGTTCTACCATTGTTTATGAATTGTACAGGACTTGCCCAACTTGAAAAAAATGGACCTTCGTTACTCTAAATACTTGACCACAACCCCAGATTTCTCTGGCATTCAGAATCTTGAGGAGTTGGATTTTGGAAGTTGTAAGAATTTGGTTGAGATTCACCTGTCAATCGCAGATCTCAAATGTCTTAAAAGCTTGAGTCTTGGTTTTTGCTCAAAATTGAAAAGATTCCAGAATTTTCAGGGCAAATGAAAAATTTTTCAACGCTTGATTTACAAGTGACGTCCATTGAGAAATTACCTTCATCAATAGGATGTCTGGTTGGCCTTACTAGTCTGCTTCTAAAGGATTGCAAAAATCTCGCGGGTCTTCTGAGTGAAATTTGTAATTTGAAGTCACTTGGTGCACTCCATGTGAATGGATGCTCAAAAATTGACAAACTCCCAGAGAACATGGGGGAGATGGAGTGTTTACGTACGCTTCTACTGAATGGAACTGCTATAAGACAGCTGCCACACTCCGTTGTTGGTTTGAAAAAACTGAAGGATCTATCTTTGGGTGGAAGTAGTGGATCACAGCCTAATAATTCAAGGTTTTTGTGGTGCCTCCCCCGCTTCAATGGAAGAAAGGCTTTTGTGTTGGCTTCGCTTGATGGTTTATTCTTGAAGAATTTGAATCTGAGTAATCGTGGACTTTGTGAAGGGGGTCTTCCCAGTGATATTGGCTGCTTGTCATATTTAGAAGTATTAAAGCTTAGTGGAAACAATTTTGTTAGCCTTCCTGCAAGCATTGGATGTCTTTCTAAGCTTAAGGTATTTTGGGTGAATGGGTGCCAAAGGCTTCAACAATTGCCAGATCTTTCTAACCTTATCTCATTAGTGGATATAGACATAGCCGGTTGCACTTCCTTAAAAATGTTACCACATCTTTCGTCAAATTGCTCATTAAAAATGTTACCACATCTTTCGTCAAATTGCTCATCAGTGGATATAAACAACGAAATATATTTTGGTGGGTTTAATTGTACCAATTGCTTTGTATTGGTTGACAATGAAGGCTGCGATAGTATAATACTGAAAATGCTACAGCGATACCTTCAGCTTCAGCTTCAGGTTCTCTCTCTCTCTCTCTCTCTTTTGTTGTTTGCTATAATAATATTTACAACTTACTAACCTCATATATATCTATGGATATGGTACAGCTCCCTTGTCCTTCTTTCGAAATTGTAACTCCTGGAAGGGAAATTCCAGAGTGGTTCAGTAGTCAAAGTTTGGGAGATTCCCTAACTGTGGAGCTACCTCCAGATTCATGTACCACGTGGATGGGAATTGCTTTATGTGCTGTGTTTGAAGTTCAGGCTGATCTTTCTGATTTTCATTATTCTGAAATTAGCTGTTCCGCACAAGAATTGCTTTATGGAGTATTTTCAAAATATTTTAAAAAAGGCGAAGTTATGTCACCTCACCTTTGGGTAATTTATGTACCTCGTGAACAATTTGAGACAAAATGCGGTCAGATAAAGGTTTTGTTAACAACTAATTATTATTGTTATGACCGAATACGGCGGATATACGAAAAATCTGGCACGTGGGAGATGAAATTTGGGTTTCGTTTGGTGCACGAGCAAGATGTGGAACAACTCAACCAGATCATGATGAACAAATCCATCATCAAGAGCACTACTACTTGTCCTACCAAATCAGCTGATGCACAAGGTCAACAACGACACGATGACCAGGAGGCTGGTCCTAGTCGAAGTGGTAGCTCTCACCAAAAATCTCTCTTCTGCAATTCGTATGCTCTTTCCGAAGAGGCAGACCAAGAAGAATTAAATGATGATGATGATGATGATGATGTTGTTGACGAAGCTCGGCCCAGAAAAAGAAAAAGGATCGATGTGTTTGGGACTGACATATGATTCGTCACTTTCAAAGCAAAAGGCATCACAGCTGCTGCATTTCAATTCAATGTGAGTTGCTGCTTTTGTTCCACTGCTTGTCCTTCATTCTTTTAGCCTTGTGTTGCTCTAAGTTTTGTTTTTCACTTCGATATTAGGTAGGAGAAGAGAACAATTCCCTTGCTACATTTTGCTTATATTTGCAGGATGTATGATGCAAATATAAACAGGACATACTGTAACTTTTTTTTGTTTCTGCATTCAAGTACATAATAACAAGACTATTGCTGTTGAAGCCAGCCAATTGTGTCATGCAGTCAACCAAAATTTGGGGTCCTGATGCCATGGCCGGTACTGGGCACAATGCTAACGTGCAACTTGAACTGATCGAAAGTCGTCGTGTGCTTATTGCCTAGGTTTGCATGAAATTTGCACCTCAAGATCACCTACTTGGTTCTTATCGACACAACTTCTGTGACTTTTTAAACTGCTCTATTCTGTTTTGTGCAGGATGGAATAGGCCAACAAGAATTCTCTATCAAGCGCGTAAACATTTGCATTGAATCGATCTAAAACTGACCAATTGCTTTGTCGGAACTCCTCCCCTGTCTGCTTCATTGATCATCTCTTTGATAGTTTGTGCAATCTCTTTCAATTATGCAGTCTTCTCTTATTTAGCATCTCTCAATTTTAAATTATTCAATATACTGGAATTTTGAGAGGTTCATTTACATCATAATACGTTGAGCAGAATTTGGGAGAGCTAGTTCTATTTTGAATGAAACTACAGTAACTTTTTATTTGGAGATTGGTAATCTATGAAGGAGAAGGTGTTTATCTAGCCAGAATGTACTCACATTTCCACAAAAAATAGAGGATATAGTATTTATTTTAATATTCACACAGTAGTCTGTCTTGATAGCATTTTCACGCAAGGGAAATTATTTCAGATTGAGAGGCACACTACTACAAAAATCGAAATAGACGACGGGAAACCACCGTCGTGTAAAAGGTTTTCCAACCGTCGTGAAATCGACTGCCGTCTATTTGGGTTTCAAATTACGACGGCTTTTCACCGTTGTTATTTATCAGTAAAGACGACGGTTTTTAAAGAAAATTGTCGTTGTTTAGAGGTAAAGATCGTTAATTATAGGAGGAAAGACGACTGTTTTTAATAAAACCGTTGTGTATTGTATGTACAGATGACGGTTTTTTAATAAAACCGTCGTATATTGTATGTAAAGATGACGGTTTTTTATGAAAACTGTCGTGGATTGTTTATAAAGACGACGGTTTTTTTTAATAAAAAACCGTCATCTTTACATACAATAGACGACCCTTTTTTTAAAAAAAGGTCATCTTTACCTATAATAGACGACACTTTTTTTTATAAAAACCGTCGTTAATTATCTGTAAAGACCATAATTTATTATAAAAACCGTCGTCTAATAAGTTTCCAAACTGCTACATTTTAGTTCTTTTTGATTTCCTATGATGCTATACAACGATTTTAACTAGAAAACCAACCATAATGCTTTATTAATGGATATATGCACTCAAAAATAATTTCTTTCATAAAACTTGAAGATTCAATAGTTATTACATAGTTAACCAATCTTTATTCTACAACAAACATAATTCCTAACAAGACCTAAGTACTCATAATCCAAGCATTCCTCATCCAAACATACAAATGATGCACAACTGAAGTCTCCTCCATCATCCCTGTAAATAAATCAAAATGACAAAGAGAGAAAAAAAGTTAAGATTATAAACATAAAAAATTAGGTGGAAGAGAAATTTTACCATTGGTCCATATTTCCATTGAAAACTTGTAAAATGAGTATAAAAAAGATCATCGAGAACCTGCAAAAGGAAAAATATATAAATAAAATGATGGTGAAAAGAGAAGGTAACAAATATGCCAGCAGTTCACCCTTCCAAATATGCCATTCGTTTTAAAACTTGTCAATAATTATTATCGAATTTTTTTTGTCATTGTGTTTTGTCTGGATTTTAATTTAGATTGGTGTGATTTTATTTTGAAAATTTTCTCTAATTAACTTTAAATCATAACTAAAAAATTTGTTTAAACTCAAGAATATTATTCAAGGGTTATTGAAATCATGTTGACAGCAATGACTTTGATTTTCAAGCAAGAAAATCAAAGAAATCGCAAACTTTGAGTTGAAATTCTAACAATACTTTTAGAAAGCTAATAAGTCGAGTGATATTTGTCTGCACTTATTTGGAGGAGGTCTCATATTCGACTCACATAAATGACAAAAGCAATATATATATATATATTTGTCATCAATTCGATACCTAGTTACTTGTGGCTACTAGCTAGCTTCATTGTGATGGTGTCGCCATATTGTGAGTGTATTGGCCTATCGTAAAAGCGTCGTGCAATTATGACAGTTGTTTGTAAAAGCAAAAAATGTGGTAATTGATTATCTACAATGACAACATAACCTCCATGATAAGTAACCCCCCTCCCCAATGCAATATATCTATCGCTAATTCTATATATTTTTTTAAAAAAGTATTGACAATATAGGGTTTTGTTTTTTTGGTTATTAAAAAAAATGTGGTAATTGATTATCGATATATATATATATATATATATATTTGTCATCATTTTGATACCTAATTACTTGTGGCTACTAGCTAGCCTCATTGTGGTGGTGTAGCCTTATTGTGAGTCTATTGACCCGTTGTAGAAGTGTCATGTAATTATGATAGCGTTTTTAAAGAAAAAGAAGTAGTATTCAATTTTAACTTCTGTGCTCCTAAAAAACTTCATGACTTTTTGTGTCAAGAAGATAAAGAGCTCCATGACCATCAAAATAATGTATTTGTGTGTTCATGAATGCCAATCTGAGTCCTTTCACTGAGCAAATATCTAGTGCACCGCTTGCTATTTTGGCAAAGCCAGAGCCACTAATATAGTATATATCAAAGTAAAAAAGAAAAAGAAAAAGGACAACTATAGTATGTGTTATTTTTTCAATTTTGGTCATGAGAGGGAGAAATCGAATTGAAACTTCTTTCTGCATTGAAAAGAACTAACACTGACTCAATAGCTAGTTGGTTACAGTATGCAATTCCTATGATTTTATAGAGGCCTACCTTCTTTTTTTTTGGGTTATTTTGTTTGTAGTACAAGCGATAAGGGGATGGGGTGGTTTACACATATATTTATTAGGTGTATGGGGGTTTCAAACCTCTACCCGCATAGGTGAAGGTAGAAAAGCTCAACCAATTTAGTTATACCCCACTGACTTCAAAGAGAAAAAAGAATGGCTAACGAGGGTTGGTTGAGTTGGTAATGATCGTTCTCTTCACTATCAAGGTCTAGGTTTGAGTCCCACTGCCAACAATCCATTTTGTGGGTAAATTGTAAAACCCCCTCTATAAGTCCTCAAGTCAAAGAGGCATTGGTATGTCATGACCCTATGATGAGGTAGCCTCATGTCCCCTAAACTTTTTGTTTCAGAGCAAAAAAAAAAGGGAAAAAGAAGGGTAGTTTTTTGTGGGTGCAAACTCATAAGCAAGGGAAACTGAACAAAAAATATACAAAAACCCTAAAACAGGAAGTTAAAATGTGTGGCTGCTGGGATTCGAGCCCAGGTCTCCACGGCCACAACGTGGAATTCTTACCACTAAACTACAGCCACTGTTGTTGTCAAGTTTCATTTAATATTTATAACATGATGGTATTGTAGGCCCCTCGTGAAAGATGGCTGCCCATTGAAATGTGTTCTACTTGTAGGTACGGTTGTTTGCCTACATGTGAGAGAAAATCATTAGGGAGCTATAAGAAGGAAGTACATTAGTTGCACTGATATCATAAAAATGAAAAATCAACATGTCTTATAAAACTTTTTATTTCCTATGTGATTTTGACTTTGATCTAAGGCTGTGTAATATAGGTTTTCATTAAATACAATTTACGGAATTGAAAAAAAAAAGAAAAATGAACAAGAAGGGGAAATCCCAAATGAAAAAGGCTAGCCCAATGAAGTTAAGGCAGGATAAAAAAGCAACCAGAAATTAAAGGTGGTAATGGTTGGTGACGTTTTGGGTTCAAGTCGTATCAATGTATTAAATGGGGTTGAGTGAGTCATTTCATGTCGGTATGTTGACTGAAAACTTACTACTTATTAATCATGTCTTGGCGGATTGATTAGAATTTAACTCATAATTATTATTGTGTGGCTTAACTCGTGTAAATTTCGTGAAGGTTTCGAGTGTTGAAATTTGACACCCTATCATAAATAAGCTTAACAAACAGACTAATCAAGAATAAATAAAGCCCAACAACATCGAAAATGTGAGGAAAAAGCCCAACTTAAAAGCAGAAAGCCCAAAGATAGAAGCCGAAGCAAGACAAACCGACTCCAGGCTCCAGCTAAGGCAAACCAACAATCACAAACTTGTCCATTAATTTGTCCGATCATGGTTTGAAGATCAATCGATTAATTAGTTGTTTAAGTCTTAATTGCCCACTAGTTTTGTAATAACACATGCATAAGTGATATTAATAATTATGATTCATGAGCCTCTTCACCATCCCATCTCTCTATGCACGTAACATTTTTGTAACACTAAATTCCACTTGCTCTGTCTGGCCTCTATATATATGAACTCTTGGATTCTCCCTTCCTCACACATCACATCGATTCCTCAATCATCGAAAGTGAATATTGCAGCTTCTAACCTCTTCCTTCTCACTATTCTTGCTTTGTCGACGACCATGCCACTATTTATAGCCACCACTAGTGCTCGCTCTTTGAATTATAACTTGATTGGATCGAACGTGATAACTTGATTGGATCGAACGTGAACCTCGAAGTCAGGTTGAATTTGGATGAAGAATCATTGAATTGTTGGGACTCTTTGTTTCAGCTCCAGGCATGTTCTGGTGAGGTTTTCATGTTTTTTATGAATGGTGAGACTTACTTAGGGCATGGCTGTTGCGAAGCCATTCGAACCATTGAACATTAGTGTTGGCCTGCCTTGCTTGGCACGCTAGGGTTTACAATAGAGGAGATTGATGTACTCAAGGGTTACTGTGATGAAGCCCATCATATTCAATTCCCTCCGTCAACACCATCACCACCTGCTGTTGATAAACCTATTTATTAATAAAACAGTTCTGGTTTGTAGAAGTTGGTTTCTCGAAGAATTTTTTTGTTTGGAGTAAGATTATAAAAAATTATGTATGCATGTCTGCTATTTTAATAAACTAGAACTACACGGTTTCCAAGTCTCTCCCTTTTCTGAGGCTGCTAGCTTTGTTTCTTCTTGTTGGGTTCTTGGCTGATCTTGAGAAGTTGTATATTTTGTGAGTTTCTAGCTGGCTTGCTGGTCTTACAAATTCTCTGGCTTTGTAATTTTTATGTGTTAAGGTAACATTAAGCTAAACTTGTTGGTAACATTAACTAAAGCATATGCAGTTTTTAGTTCACTGGTGTAGTGATGACGCTTTTTCATGCCAGCCCATTGTTTTAAACGTTGAAAACATCATGACAAGACGACCCATTTTCCTCTACGTCGTCCTTATTTATCTTCATTTACCCAAAATAAACCTTAAATTTTAATCCTTTTCCTTTTGCAAGCCATTTATCTTCTATTTGTTAGTTGAGTGTTTGGATTTAATTAGCGAAAGGCTTATTTTCGTTGAGTGTTTACAGCAGCAGCAGATTGCCAAATGGCATTGAGCACCCAAAGAGACTCTGTCTTTCTTCCTTCACCTCATCAGTCTGCTCCTCAACCGAACCACGATGTGTTTTTGAGTTTCAGGGGCGAGGACACTTGAAATAGCTTTGTATCCCATTTATACCACGAATTGCAGCTCAGGGGCATTAAAACATTCAAGGACGATCCTAAGCTTGAAAGAGGGACAGCTATTTCTTCGGGGCTTTTCAACGCAATCGAAGAATCAAGGCTTGCAATCGTTGTCCTCTCGCCAAATTATGCGTCTTCTTCCTGGTGCTTGGATGAGCTTACAAAGATTCTCCAATACATGAAATCGAAGAGCACCGTTCTGCCAGTGTTTTATCATGTGGATCCTTCCGACGTACGTACGAAAACAAACCGGTAGTTTTGCGTGCGCGTTCGCTGATCATGAGGAAAGGTTTAGGGAAGACAGAGAAAGGGTGAAGAGCTGGAGAGATGCTTTAACTGAAGTGGCCAGTTTATCTGGGTTTGATTTAAAGAATGAGTATGTTTTTTCGTAAGCCATCATATCTTGTTATATGTATGTCTTATATTTTAGACTTCATTATCATTTTACTTTTCCTCTTTGTAGAAGTGAAAGAAAGCTTGTTGAAAAGATTGTTGACTGGGTGTGGGACAAAGTGAATCACAGATTCAAATTGTTAGATTCCAGAGAGTTAGTGGGAATGAAGTTTATACGTGAGCAAGTAGATTTGCTTTCAGCTCATCCTACGGATGATGTTCGCTTTATAGGGATATGGGGGATGGGCGGAATTGGCAAAACAACCATTGCTCAGCTAGTTTATGATAGCATTTCTACCCATTTTGAAGTTAGCAGCTTTCTTGCTAATGTTAGAGAGGTTTCTCAACGTGGTAATCTTGTTGATCTACAAAGACAACTTCTTTCCCCAATCTTAAAGGATCAAATTACTCAAGTTTGGGATGAACATTGGGGAACCTCTGTTATTAAGAATTGCTTGTATAATAAAAAGGTTCTTCTCATTCTTGATGATGTGAGTGAATCAAGCCAACTTGAAAAGTTGGCTGGTGAAAAGGATTGGTTTGGTAAGGGGAGTATAATCATTATTACAACTAGAGATAAACGGTTGCTAGTTAAACATGATATACATATATCATATAAGGTAGAGGCGTTAGGTCATGATGATGCTCTTGAGCTCTTTAGTCGGAATGCCTTTAAAAAAAATGAGCCTGAGGAAGGTTTATTGGAATTGTCCAAGGGTTTTGTAAATTATGCAAGAGGCCTTCCACTAGCTCTTAAACTTTTGGGATGCTTAGTGTGTAATATGAGAGACCAAGATGAATGGAAAAGTGAATTGGATAAGTTGCGGAAAATTCCTAACTCAGGAATTTTGATTTGCTCAAAATAAGTTATGATGGACTGGATGAGATGAATAAGGAGATATTTCTTGATGTTGCATTTTTCATAAGTGGAAGGGCAAGGAGGAAGTAATTGAAATACTGGACAGTTGCGGCCTATGTGGTTGTGCTGGGATAAATGATCTCGTTCGGAAATCACTCTTAACCATATCAAATGGGAATGTTGAGATGCATGATTTGATACAAGAAATGGCATGGGAAATTGTTTGTCGAGAGTGTCCTGAAGAGCCTGGTAGACGAAGTCGATTGTGCAATCATGATGATATCTCTCATGTATTCATAGACAATACGGTAAGAAGTTATATAAAAGATACTAAGTTTGGAAGATTTATGATTTCTCTTTAACACACCATTAAACTTATTAATGATATCTTTGATGTATTCGTAAATAGTATGAGAAGAAGTTATATAAAGATAGTTTTGGAAGATATATGATTTCTCTTTAATACATTATTAAACTTAAATGTGGAATTAACTTTTCTTTTACTATTCTTAATTACAGGCAACAGACAAAATTAGAGGCATCAGCTTACGAAGGGCGACAGTTAAAAAGACAAATTGGAATTGTGAAGCCTTCTCTAAGATGCTTAACCTGAAATTTCTTGAATTTGATAATATGATGATTTCTTCAAGCCCCAGAATTCTTCCTAATTCCTTGAGAAGTATCAAATGGAGTCAGTATCCTTCCAAATTTCTCCCATCAAGCTTTCAACCGAATTTCCTTATTTCACTTGAGATGCCTGATAGCAAACTTGTTCGACTTTGGGATGGAAGAAAGGTAAGAGTAGGGACCATATGCCATTCTAGAAATTAGTTTATTTATTTATAAATATTTGTTTTAAAAAATAAGATAAATCTGAGCTAATTATCGAATTGTACAGGACTTGCCCAACTCGAAATAAATAAAATAAAAAATTTTGTTTTAAGAAATTAGTTTTTTATATTTTGTTTTTGAAAATAAGATAAAAATGTGCTAATTATATATTTTGTTTCTGAATTGTATAGGACTTGCCCAACTTGAAAACCATGAAACTAAATGCCTCTAGAAAGTTGACCACAACCCCAGATTTCAGTGGCATGCCGAATCTTGAGGTGTTGAATTTTCAATTTTGTGATAATTTGGTTGAGATTCACCCGTCAATTGCAAATCTGAAATGTCTTAAATGATTGTTGTTTGGTGCATGCCCAAAATTGAAAAAGATTCCAGAATTTTCAGGGCAAATGAAAAATTTGTCATTGCTTGGTTTAAATGGGACTTCCATTGAGAAATTATCTTCGTCAATAGGACGTCTAGTTGGCCTTAGTAGTCTGTCACTATCGGGTTGCAAAAATCTCGTGGGTCTTCCGAATGAAATTTGTAATTTGAAGTTTCTTACAACACTCGGGGTGGTTGGGATGCCCAAAAATTGACAAACTCCCAGAGAACGTGGGGGGAGATGGAGTGTTTAGAGATGCTTCTACTGGATGGAACTTCTATAAGACAGCTGCCACGCTCTGTTGTTGGTTTGAAAAAACTTAACAGTCTATCTTTGGGTAGATGTGAATCAAGATTACCGTCTAGGCTTTTGTGTTGCCTCCCCCTCTCATATGAAAGAGAGGCTTTTGAGTTGGCTTCGCTAGGTGGGTTTATTTTCTTTGAGGGAATTGGATCTGAGTAATTATGGTGTTTGTGAAGCAGATCTTCCCAGTGATATTGGCTGCTTGTCCTCTTTAGAAGAATTAAAGCTTAGTGGAAACAATTTTGTTAGCCTTCCTGCAAGCATTGGATGTCTTTCTAAGCTTAAGTCATTTTGGGTGAATGGGTGCCAAAGTCTTGAACAATTGCCAGATCTTTCTAAGCTTATCTCATTGGTGGATATAAACATAGCCAATTGCACTTCCTTAAAAATGTTACCACATCTTTCGTCAAATTGGTTATTAGTGGATATAAACAACGAAATACGTTTTAATTGTGCCAATTGCTTTGTATTGGTTGACAATGAAGGCTGCGATAGTATAATACTGAAATGCTACAGCGATACCTTCAGGTTCTCTCTCTCTGTCTCTCTTTGTTGTTTGCTATAATAATAATTACAACTTACTAACCTCGTATATATCTATGTATATGGTACAGGTACTTCCTACGGCTTTTGACTACCAATTCGAAATCGTAACTCCTCGAAGGAAATTCCAGAATGGTTTAGTAATCAAAGTTGGGAGATTCCCTAACTGTGGAGCTACCTCTGGATTCATGTACCACATGGATGGGAATTGCTTTATGTGCTGTGCTTGAAGTTCAGGCTGATCTTTCTGAATTTAATTTTTTTCATGTTAGCTGTTTTGCACAAGGAATGCTGCCACATGGAGTATTTCCAAAACTAAAAACAGGCAATGTTGTGTCAGATCACCTTTGGGTAATTTATGTACCTTGTAAACAATTTGAGAAGATGTGCGGTCAGATAAAGGTTTTCTTCAAAACTTCTTATTTTTGTCAAGACGAAAAACGGTTGGTATACGACAAACAATATGTGAAGAAGTGTGGGTTTCGTTTGGTGCACAAGCAAGATGTAGAACAACTCAACCAAATCATGATGAACAAATCCATCATCAAGAGCACTACTACTGTCCTACCAAATCAGTTGATGCACAAGGTCAACAACGTCACGATGACCAGGAGGCTGGTCCTAGTCGAAGTGGTAGCTCTAACCAAAAATCTCTCTTCTGCAATACCTATGCTCTTTCTGAAGAGGTAGACCAAGATGAAATAAAATGATGTTGTTGATGAAGCTCGGCCCAGAAAAAAGAAAAAAGATCGATGTGATTGGGACTAACCTATGATTCCTCACTTTCAAAGCAAGAGGCATCACAGCTGCTGTATTTCAATGTGAGTTGCTTCATTTGCTGATTCTAGTTTTCATTTTTTTTGGGATTTGCTGTATTTCAATGATGTTGTTTCTCTCTTGTTTGTTCCACTGCTTGTGCTTCATTCTTTTGGCCGTATATTGCCCTAAGTTTTGTTTTTCACCTATTGCTCCTTCATTTGGTTCTCCCACTGGTTTTTTATTGGCTCTATTCCTTGTTTTGTTTTAGGAGCATATCTGAATTTCTCTCAACTTGTAAAGATTTTCTCCCTCTTTTTAACAACTTTATGAAAATTTTCAACTACAGCAGGGGGTGCATAGGACTTTTGATTTGCTACTTAGGTCTTGCCCTTCTTATTTTTCGCTATTGTTGAAAAGTTTAATAAAAACTGTATTCTTAAAAGATGAGCTAAAATTTTGCTAAAAACTCCTCCTCAAATATCTGCACCTCAATACTTTAAAGGCCAATAACACTGCTCTCACAATGGATATTATGAGTAAGTCACCACCATCTGTCTCCCTGCATTTTCTTTTCTAGCCTTACATTATCATTAGATTCATATCTTGATGATAATTCCTCTGCTCTTTCTCTCTTTGTCTCTCTCTCTCTCTCACATGTGCATTTGTCATCTTGGTTGATAACATGAGCTTTATGCATATGAGAAAGAACATTTCTTTGTTAGCTACTGCAGAGCACTAATTAATCAGGTTAATAACTCATGTTGCTGCTTATTATATAGCACTTGAGGAAAGTATCTGTTAACATACTGCAAATCATTAAGTAGTTACGTTCAGCAATCAAGTATATGTCTACTGAACGAAAAAGAGAAGGGGTTTTCACTTAAGCCATAGAATCAAAACAGGGCAATAGCTAGGTAAGAGCCATTAATCGTCATACCGAGGATACCATAGATCGCAGGCCTCCTAAGGAGCTGATGACAATGGAGCGATTATAGGGTTTGGGAGCTTTGGATCTTTCTAATTGTGGGTTTGCATTACATTAAAAAAGAGAGGATTGTGTTCTTGAGTTTTTCACAGAGAGGGAAAAATCTTCAATTAAAGTTGGGTTTCCAACGGGTCAAATTTCAACCCGGTTCTACATGCACCTTCTTTAAAAACTCACCGTTGGATGAAATCAACGACTCTTACATACCCCTCAAAACCACCCCTTATAACTTTCCACTCACTATAGAAGCCCCTTATTATATGATTCATGGATCAATTTTAAAAATCCTCATAGCCATATTTGGGTCCAAGTGCAAATGTCAATTTTAGAAAATTAGTGGGTTAATCAAAATTACTCATTATTTTCTTGGACATTGACAAAAACGGAAAAATGGTACAAAACCATCCAATTTTTGCCAATGGGTCATCTACCCATGCAAATCTCAATGAGATTAAATTCAAATATCCCTAAAACACAAACTCTTAATTAGTGGGCTACACTCACCCATTAATTTCAAATTTTTTTTCATAGGTCATCTGGCCATGAAAATTCTAATGAGATTAAATTCAAATTTCTCAACCACAAATGCTCCATTAGTGGGCCGCACTTACCCATTAATTTCCATTTTTCTCATGGGTCATCTACCTATGAAAATCTTCAAATTATCTCAAAGACACAAATTCTAAATTATGGGCTACCCATTAATTTCTAAATTTTGGAACTACGTCGGTTTGATCCCATCAATGCACCGCTACCAAATTTGAATCCTTGGTTTATTCTAACCAAATTCGCCAGAATACTTTTCCAAGTGCAAATGTCAATTTAGAAAATTAGTGGCTTAATTGAAGTTTCTCACTATTTTTCTTGGACATTGACAATAGGAAAAATGGTACAAAACCATCCAACTTTTTTCATGGGGTCATCTACCCTTGCAAATTTCAATGAGATTAAATTCAAATATCTCAAATACAAATTCTCAATTAGTGGGCCACACTCACCCATTAATTTCCAATTTTTCTCATAGGTCATCTACTCATGAAAATTCCAATGAGATTAAATTCAAATATCTCAAACACAAATTCTCAATTAGTGGGCCACACTTACTCATTAATTTCCAATTTTTCTCATAGGTCATCTACCTATGAAAATCCCTAAATTATCTCAAAGACACAAATTCTAAATTATTGGGCAACATTTACCCATTAATTTCTAAATTTTGGAACTACGTCGGTTGATCCCATCAAGAGTACGTAGGCAGTCTAGCATCCCACTAGACACAACCGCAACCAAATTTGAATCCTTGGTTTGTTCTAACCAAATTCGCCAGAATACTTTTCCAAGTGCAAATGTCAATTTTAGAAAATTAGTGTCTTAATTGAAATTCTCACTATTTTTCTTGGACATTGACAATAGAAAAAATGGGTACAAAACCATCCAACTTTTTCCATGGGTCATCTACCCATGCAAATTTCAATGAGATTAAATTCAAATCTCTCAAATACAAATTCTCAATTAGTGGGCCATACTCACCCATTAATTTCTAATTTTTCTCATGGGTCATCTACTCATGAAAATTCCAATGAGATTAAATTCAAATATCTTAAACACAAATTCTCAATTAGTGGACCACACTTACCCATTAATTACTAATTTTTCCCATAGGTCATCTATCTATGAAAATCCCCAAATTATCTCAAAGACACCAATTCTAAATTATTGGGCCACATTTACCCATTAATTTCTAAATTTGGAACTACGTCGGTTTGATCCGATCAATGGTACGTAGGCAGTCTAGCATCCCACTAGACGCAACCACAACCAAATTTGAATCCTTGGTTTGTTCTAACCAAATTCGCCAGAATACTTTTCCAAGTGCAAATGTCAATTTTAGAAAAATAGTGGCTTAATTGAAATTTCTCATTATTTTTCTTGGACATTGACAATAGGAAAAATGGTACAAAACCATCCAACTTTTCTATGGGTCATCTACCCATGCAAATTTCAATGAAATTAAATTCAAATCTCTCAAATATAAATTCTCAATTAGTGGGCCACATTTACCCATTAATTTTCAATTTTTCTCATGGGTCATCTACCCATGAAAATTCCAACGGGATTAAATTCAAATCTCTCAAACACAAATTCTCAATTAATGGGGTCACACTTACTCATTAATTTCCAATCTTCCCATAGGTCATATATAAGTGCAGTCACGTCATTCACTGTGCTCTCCAACATATTTTCTCTGCAATTGAAAAAACTGAGCGAGCGAGTGTGAGAAAAAGAGCCACACCCATGGTGCTCCAAATCACCGTTGAGCGCGACTACACCATCGACGATATTTGTCTGCACTTATTTAGAGGAGGTCTTAGATTCGGCTCACATAAATTATAAAAGCAATATATATATTTGACATCAGTTTGATATCTAGTTAGTTGTGGCTACTAGCTAACTTCATTGTGATGGTGTAGCCCATTATGAGTGTATTAGCCCCTTGTAAAAGTGTCGTGTAATTATGCCAACAGTTTGTAAAAGCAAAAAATGTAGTAATTGATTATCTACAATGACAACATAACCTCCATCAGTCCATGACCAATAGTAAATTAATTAGTAAATTATAATGGTATCTCATTGGAAGCATTGCCATCTTAGGTTTACCATGAACATACCAAACATATTGAGCTTGATTGCTACACTATATGAGAAAGAATTCAAAAAGGAGAAATCAAGACAACATATGTGCAAACTGGAAAACAGATTGCTGACATTTTCACGAAGCCATTGAGACAAGCGTTTTCCATTCACATCTCAGCAAGTTGGGTGTTTTGGATATCCACACTCCAACTTGAGGGGGAATGTTAAAGGAAAGAATCAAGTCATATTTGATATGCCTAGATTATAGGGTCGTTGATTGATTCCTTGTATATATGTCATTCAATTGTTTATTTCCTTCCTAGAATAAGACTCTCTCAGTTTGTATAAAGTCGTAGCTATATTGTATATTCACATATTAATCAAACACCGACATCTCTCTACCAAACTATTTTCTTCACTCACCATTTTTACAGAAATTGTGGTCCTTTATCAAGTCTTCCTTGATATTCTTCCATGTTGCTTCATTTTCTTTTCCTCTATTTTGTCTTTTGTGTGCGGAAATTGGTTTGGAACTGCATATAAACAATTTTTTTTTCTTCTTGACAATTTATTATTTTATGACTTTTGTTACGAGGATTCTTGGCAAAGTTGGCTGGCGGTCATATAGGAAATTACTTGGCTTCTCCATGGAAAGATCCATTTCCTTTTACTTTATTTGAAATGTGTCCAGACAATTTCAAATAAGTATGTATATACAGAAACATGTCAAGATAGAGTAACTCGTTTTACGGAATGAGCTAAATTTCTATTGCTATTATCTAAACTAAATTTCTAGGTTCATTCGATCTCAGTAGTTTTGATGGTTTGATCAATCAATCATTAAAATTTTAGCTCTTTAGGACATGTTGAATTTAATCGTTAAACTCAATCAAAGAAAATTATGCAACCACTCAAATAATTAACGTGACAATAAAATAAATAAAAAGCAAAAGAACTTTTCCGAAAATTGAAATGCCCCCTTCCTCTTCAAAATAAATCACTCATTGACCAAAGACTTAAGACTTTCATTGGAGACGTTGGACTTGGAGATAGCTGACAAGAGAAAACGTGCTCGCCACTACACGGTTTTGCAACTCTCTCTCTCTCTCTCTCTCACTGTTAGCTTTGCTTCTTGTTGCTGGTTTTTTGGCTGATCTTGAGAAGAAGTATTTATTGTGAGTTTCTGGTTGGTTTGCTGGTCTTTTGGTTGTTGTCTTACAAACTACATTTCCATATCTGTTTTGTTCAGGTAACATTAACTAAAGCATATGCAATTTTTAGTTCACTTGTCTTGTCATGAGGCTTATATTTTTGTTTTAAATGTTGAAATTCGTATTTTGTTCCTTCTAATGTTTATATATGAATTCCTCTGTTTTCCTCTGGTTTACTATATTACCCAAAAAAGACCTCTTTAAATTTCAATCCTTTTCTTTTTGCAAGCCATTTATCATCATCTTTCTATTTATTAGTTGAGTGTTTGGATTTTTGAAGATTTAATTAGCGAAAGGTTTATTTTCATTGAGTGTTTACAGCAGCAGCAGATTGCCAAATGGCATTGAGCACCCAAAGAGACTCTGCCTTTCTTCCTTCACCTCATCTGTCTGCTCCTCAACCGAACCACGATGTGTTTTTGAGTTTCAGGGGTGAGGACACTCGACTTAGCTTTGTATCCCATTTATACCACGAATTGCAGCTCAGGGGCATTAAAACATTCAAGGATGATCCAAAGCTTGAAAGAGGGACAGCTATTTCTTCAGGGCTCTTCAACGCAATCCAAGAATCAAGGCTTGCAATCGTTGTTCTCTCGCCAAAATATGCTTCTTCTACCTGGTGCTTGGATGAACTGACAGAGATTCTCCAATGCATGAAATCCAAGGGCACAATTCTGCCAGTGTTTTATAATGTGGATCCCTCCAATGTGAGAAAACAAAGTGGCAGTTTTGTGGACGCCTTTGCTGAGCATGAGAAAAGGTTTAGGGAAGACATCGATAAGGTGAAGCGCTGGAGAGATGCTTTAACAGAAGTAGCCAATTTATCTGGGATAGATTCAAAGAATGAGTAAGCATGAATGAACAACTTCTCTATATGTCTTAACAAAACCCATGGTTTATATTTTAGACTTCATGATCGTTTTACTTTTCCTCATTGTAGGTGTGAAAGAAAGCTTATTGAAAAGATTGTTGAATGGGTGTGGAGTAAAATGCATCGCACATTCAAATTGTTAGATTCCACAGAGTTAGTGGGAATTAAGTTTACACTTGGGGACATAGATTGGCTATTAGCTCCTACGGATGATGTTCGCTTTATAGGGATATGGGGGATGGGCGGCATTGGCAAGACGACCATTGCTAAGCTAGTTTATGAGAGCATTTCTATTCATTTTGAAGTTAGCTGCTTTCTTGCTAATGTTAGAGCGGTTTCTGAACATGGGAATCTTGTTAATCTACAAAGACAGCTTCTTTTCCCGATCTTGAAGGAACAAATTACTCAAGTTTGGGATGAACAGTGGGGGACCTATTTCATTAAGAATTGCTTATCTAATAAAAAGGTTCTTCTCATTCTTGATGATGTGAGTGAATCAAGCCAACTTGAAAAGTTGGCTGGTGAAAAGGATTGGTTTGGTAAGGGGAGTATAATCATTATTACAACTAGAGATCAACGGTTGCTTGTTAAGCATGATATGCAGGTATCATATCAGGTAGAGGGATTAAGCGATGATGATGCTCTTGGACTCTTTAGTAGGAATGCCTTTAAAAAAAATAAGCCTGACGAAGGTTTCTTGGAATTGTCCAAGGGTTTTGTAAATTATGCCAGAGGCCTTCCACTAGCTCTTAAACTTTTGGGATGCTTAATGTATAAGAGAGATGAAGATGAATGGGAAAGTGAATTGGATAAGCTGCGGAAAATTCCTAAGTCAGAAATGATTGATTTGTTCAAAATAAGTTATGATGGACTAGATGAGATGAACAAGAATATATTTCTTGATGTTGCATGTTTACATAAGGGGAGGGACAAGCGGCAAGTAATTGAAATACTAGAGAGTTGTGGCCTATGTGGTTGTGTTGGGATAAATGATCTCGTTCGGAAATCACTCTTAACTATATCAAATGGGAATGTTGAGATGCATGATTTGATACAAGAAATGGCATTGGAAATTGTTCGTCGAGAGTGTCCTAAAGAGCCTGGTAGACGAAGTCGATTGTGCAATTATGATGATATCTCTCATGTATTCATAAAAAATACGGTAAGAAGTTATATAAACGATACTAAGTTTTGGAAGATTTATGATTTGTCTTTAACACATTATTAGACTTAATTAATGATATTTTGATGTATTCATAAACAATATGATAAGAAGTTATATAAAGATAGTTTTGGAAGATATATGATTTCTCTTTAATACATTATTAAACTTAAATGTGGAATTAACTTTTCTTTTACTATTCTTAATTACAGGCAACGGACAAAATTAGAGGCATTAGCTTACGCACGTCGACAGTTGAAAAGACAAATTGGAATTGTAAAGCTTTCTCTAAGATGAGTAACCTGGAATTTCTTGAATTTGATAATATGATGATTTCTACAAGCCCCAGATTTCTTCCTAATTCCTTGAGAAGTATCAAATGGAGTTTGTATCCTTCCAAATTTCTCCCATCAGGCTTTCAACCGAAGTCCCTTATTTCACTTGAGATGCCTGATAGCAAACTTGTTCAGCTTTGGGATGGAAGAAAGGTAAGAGTAGGGACCATATGCCATTCTAGAAATTAGTTTATTTATTTTAAAAAATAAAATAAATTTGAGCTAATTATCGAATTGTACAGGAGTTGCCCAACTAGAAATAAAATAAAATAAAAATTTTGTTTTAAGAAATTAGTTTTTTTTATATTTTGTTTTGGAAAATAAGATAAAAATGTGCTAATTATATATTTGTTTCTGAATTGTACAGGACTTGCCGAACTTGAAATACTGAACCTCGGTTCCTCTAAAAGGTTGACCACAACCCCAGATTTCAGTGGCATGCCGAATCTTGAGGTGTTGAATTTTGAATTTTGTGATAATTTGGTTGCGATTCACCCGTCAGTTGCAGATCTCAAATGTCTTAAATGGTTGTCTCTTCATTTTTGTCGAAAATTGAAAAAGATTCCAGAATTTTCAGGGCAAATGAAAATTTTGTCAACCATAATTTCCAGCAGACGTCAATTGAGAAATTACCTTCATCAATAGGATGTCTAGTTGGCCTTAGTGGTCTGATGTTATCGGATTGCAAAAATCTCGTGGGTCTTCCGAGTGAAATTTGTAATTTGAAGTCTCTTAAATACATGTGGGCGAAAGGATGCTCAAAAATTGACAAACTCCCAGAGAAGTTGGGGGAGATGGAGTGTTTACAGGTGCTTCAATTGCACGGAACTTCTATAAGACAGTTGCCACGTTCCGTCGTTGGTTTGAAAAAACTTTACAGTCTATCTTTGGGTGGATGTGAATCAAGGTTACCGTCTAGGCTTTTGTGTTGCCTCCCCCTCTCATATGAAAGAAAGGCTTTTGTGTTGGCTTCGCTTGATGGTTTATTCTCTTTGAAGTATTTGGATCTGAGTAATGGTGGTGTTTGTGAAGGGGATCTTCCCAGTGATATTGGCTGCTTGTCCTCTTTAGTAGAATTAAAGCTTAGTGGAAACAATTTTGTTAGCCTTCCTGCAAGCATTGGATGTCTTTCTAAGCTTGAGTTATTTTGGGTGAATGGGTGCCAAAGTCTTGAACAATTGCCAGATATTTCTAAGCTTATCTCATTGGTGGATATAGACATAGCCAATTGCACTTCCTTGAAAATGTTACCACATCTTTCGTCAAATTGCTCATTAGTACAATTTAGCAATTGCTTTGTATTGGTTGACAATGAAGGCTGCGATAGTATAATACTGAAAATGCTACAGCGATACCTTCAGGTTCTGTCTCTCTGTCTCTCTTTCTCTCTTTTGTTGTTTGCTATAATAATAATTACAACTTGCTAACCTCATAAATATCTATGTATATGGTGCAGGTAATCCCTAGGCCTCCATACAAATTCGAAATTGTAACTCCTGGAAGGAAAATTCCAGAGTGGTTTAGTAATAAAAGTTTGGGAGATTCCCTAACTGTGGAGCTACCTACCATGTGGATGGGAATTGCTTTATGTGCTGTGTTTGAAGTTCAGGCTCATCTTTCTGATTTTCATTATTTTCAAATTAGCTGTTCCGCACAAGGAATGCGGCCACATGGAGTACTTTCAAAATATTTTAAAATAGGCGATGTTGTGTCAGATCACCTTTGGGTAATTTATGTATCTCGTAAACAATTTGAGAATATATGCGGTCAGATAAAGGTTTTCTTTACAACTTATTATTCTCAAGACATAATGTGGGGAGACAAAAAATCTTGTGTGAAGAAGTGTGGGTTTCGTTTGGTGCACGAGCAAGATGTGGAACAACTCAACCAGATCACGATGAAAAAATCCATCATCAAGAGCACTACTACTTGTCCTACCAAATTAGCTGATGCACAAGGTCAACAACGCCATGATGACGAGGAGGCTAGTCCTAGTGGAAGTGGTAGCTCTCACCAAAAATCTCTCTTCTGCAATGCCTATGCTCTTTTCGAAGAGGCAGACCAAGATGAATTAAATGATGATGATGATGATGATGATGTTGATGAAGGTCGGCCCAGAAAAAGAAAAAAGATCGATGTGTTTGGGATTGACTTATGATTCGTCACTTTGAAAGCAAGAGGCATCACAACTGCTGCATTTCAATTCAATGTGAGTTGCTGCTTTTGCTGAGTCAACTTTTCATTTTTTTGGATTTGGCGTACTATTGTTTGTTCCACTGCTTGTCCTTCATTCTTTTTGCCTTGTGTTGCCCTAAGTTTTGTTTTTCACCTGTTGCTCCTTCATTCGTTGGCCCGCTTCATTCTTAAACTACAGCAGGGGGTGCATAGGACTTTTGATTTGGAGGGTAACCACTTTGATTTGCTACTTAGGTCTTGGCCTCTCTTATTTTCGCCAATGTTAAAAAATTTAATAAAAATGAGCTAAATTTTTGCAAGCTTCTTTAAAAACTCCTCCTCCTCAAATATCTGCACCTCAATACTTAAAAGGCCAATCACGCTGCTCTCACAATTGATATTATTAGTAAGTCACCACCATCTATCATTTTATTTTCTAGCCAGACATTTATCATTAGATTCATCACTTATTGTTTCTTTGATGATAATTCCTCTCCTCTCTCTCTCTCTCTCTCATGTACTTTTTTCATCCTGATCGATAACATGAGCTGGATATTATATGCATATGAGAAAGAACTTTTCTTTGTTAACTACTGTAGAACATTAATTAACTCATGTTACTGCATTTGAGCAAAGTATCTGTTAACATACTGCAAATCTGTAAGTAGTTACATTCAGCAATCAATTATAGGTCTTCCATTTTGTTTCATTTTGATATTAGGTGGGAGAAGAGAACAATTCCCTTGCTACATTTTGTTTGTTTTTTTCCATTGCAAAAGTACATATATGCAGGATGTATGATGCAAATATAAACAGGACATACTGTAACTTTTTTTTGTTTGTTTCTGCATTCAAGTACATAATAACAAGACTACTGCTGTGGAAGCCAGCCAATTGTGTCAGGCAGTCAACCAAAATTTGGGGTCCTGATGCCATAGCCGGTACTGGGCACAATGCTAATGTGCAACTTGAACTGATCGAAAGTAGTCGTGTGCTTATTGCCCAAGTTCGCATGAAATTTGCACCTCAAGATCACCTACTTGGTTCTTATCGACACAACTTCTGTGACTTTTTAAACTGCTCTATTATGTTTTGTGCAGGATGGAATAGGCCAACAAGAATTCTCAATCAGGCGCGTAAACATTTGCATTGAATCGATCTAAAACCGACCAATTGCTTTGTCGGAACTCCTCCCCTGTTTGCTTCATTGATCATCTCTTTGATAGTTTGTGCAATCTCTTTCAATTATGCAGTCTTCTCTTATTTAGCATCTCTCAATTTTAAATTATTCAACATACTGGAATTTTGAGAGGTTCATTTACATCAGAATATGTTGAGCAGAATTTGGGAGAGCTAGTTCTATTTTGAATAAAACTACAGTAACTTTTTATTTGGAGATTGGTAATTTATGAAGGAGAAGGTGTTTATCTAGCCAGAATGTACTCACATTTCCACAAAAAACAGGATATAGTATTTATATTAATATTCACACAGTAGTCTGTCTTGATAACAACATTTTCACGCAAGGGAAATCATTTGAGATTGAGAGGCAATAATTTTGGATCTATTATTTTCCTTTTATTTCTATTTTGAGACATTTTGGAGTTATAATTAGACCGACATTACTACATGGGTTCTAAAAAATAACATGTATTGTAAGCTATAGATATGTTCAAACAAACAGAGCCGAACAAACATCCAAGGGCCATCAAGTAGAAGCTCAAGATATAGCAACCGAAGGCCGAATGGCACCAAATAAAGTCCAAAATGAAGCCAACTACAGTCTCTAGCTAATAAACCAATCACAAAATTATTAATTTGTCTAGCTCTAAGCAAATTCCAATGAGAATTGAAGCATAGGTTGGAGTCCAATAACTAAAATCTAATAGAAAATTAAAATTGCATCCGAGTTTGAATATTCTTTTAAGCAATTTAGATTAAATTAAAGTAAAATGTTGCTTAATTGAAGAATGTTTAACCAAAACAAAAAGTGTTTACCTATAAAAAAAAGGACCCATTTGTTTTTGACCCCATGAAGAATGAATGAAGTAAAAAGAGATTTTGTGAAGTACTCATTTAGGTTTTCATCATTTGGGAGGTGAAGGTCATAATATTTCATCTTTTTCTGGCCTTAAAATGTGATATTTCATAATATGTGATACTTGAGCATTAAGTTTGAAATTGATTGAGTTTTTCAAATTCATATGATATGAGTTGATGATGAAAATTAATTTACCATTAGAACCATATATATAATAGGAATCATGTTAGTGATCTAGGTATTAATGGATTAGCCCAACCCAGCCTATAAACAAAATCATATCATCAGTCTGTAAAGCCCACCCAACCCAGCCTATACACAAAATCATATCATCAATCTGTAAAGCCCAGTTGTTGTTGTTGTTGTTGTTGTTGTCTTTGTTTTTTTTTCCTAAGGCAGCCCAGCAGTTTCACCCTTCCAAATATGCCATTCGTTTTAAAACTTGTCAATAATTATTATCGAATTTTTTTTTTGTCATTGTGTTTTGTCTGGATTTTAATTTGATTGGTGTGATTTTATTTTGAAAATTTTCTCTAATTAAATTTAAATCACAACTAAAAACTTTGTTTAAACTCATGAATATTATTCAAGGGTTATTGAAAATCATGTTGATAGCAATGGCTTTGATTTTCAAGCAAGAAATCAAAGAAATGGCAAACTTGGAGTTCAAATTCTAATAATACTTTTAGAAAGCTAATAAGTCGAGTGATATTTGTCTGCACTTATTTGGAGGAGGTTTCAAGTTCGACTTACATAAATGACAAAAGCTATATGTATATTTGTGATCAGTTCGATACGTAGTTACTTGTGGCTACTAGCTAGCTTCATTGTGATGGTGTAGCCTTATTGTGAGTGTATTGGCCTGTCATAGAAGTGTCGTGTAATTATGGCAGCCATTTATAAAAACAAAAAAAATGCAGTAATTGATTATCTACAATGACAGCATAACCTCCATGAGTCCATGACCAATAGTAAATTAATTAGTAAATTGTAATGGCATCTCATTGGACGCATTACCATCTTAGGTTTTCAATAACGTTAACATAAGCATTAAGCAACAAAAACTTATCATTAAAATCCAATAGCAAGCTTATTTCATTTATTACTGCACCTTGAAAGCTACATATAAAAATATATATAATTGATTGAGGGGTTTACCTTAGTGGTGAGGTCCCTCCCCCTTCCCTTCTTTGGTCACCTATTCGAATCCCAGGATAAGTGCCCCCTCCCCAATGCAATATATCTATCGCTAATTATATATATATAAAGTATCGACAATATAGGGTTTTGGTTATTATTTGTCCACGTTTGTTGAAACTAATTAATTTACTTTTTGATATAAACATCTCAACGGTTCATTAGTATTTAATTAGTTGTTTAAGTCTTAATTGCCCACTAATTTTGTAATAACACATGCACTGGGTGATATTAATAATAATGATTGACGAGCCTCTTCACCACCCCATCTCTCCATGCATGTAACGTTTTTGTAAAACTAAATTCCACTTGTTGTGGCCTCTATATATAAACTCTTGGATTCTGCCTTCCTCACACATCACATCGATCTCTCAATCATCCAAAGTGAAAATGGCAGCTTCCAACCTCTTCCTTCTCACTCTTCTTGCTTTGTCGACCATGCCACTATTCATAGCCACCACTAGTGCTCGCTCTTTGAACTATAGCCCGATTGGATTGAATGCGAACCTTGAAGCCAGGTTGAATTTGGATGAAGAATCATCGAACTGTTGGAACTCTTTGTTTCAGCTCCAGGCATGTTCTGGTGAGGTTGTCATGTTTTTTATGAATGGTGAGACTTACTTAGGGCATGGCTGTTGTGAAGCCATTCAAACCATTGAGCATCAGTGTTGGCCTGCCTTGCTTGGCATGCTAGGGTTTACAACCGAGGAGACTAATGTACTCAAGGGTTATTGTGATGAAGCCCATCATATTCAATTTCCTTCGTCGACACCATCATCACCTATTGCTGATAAACCTATTAATTAATAAATAATAATATAGAAGTAGTAGTGGTTCTCCTTCAAGCAATATGGAATGAATTTTGTTTTTGTTTTTTTTTTTTTTTTTTTTTTTTTTTTTTTGGTTTTGAGATTATAAAAAATTATGTATGCATGTCTGCTATTTTAATAAATTAATAATTAGTAAGGCTTTGTTTGGTCTTTCTATATTCAATTCTTGTGTCTATAATTCGAGAATGATTATATGCCTTAATTGGCTTTTAATTAGCCATTATGTCTATCGCTTATAATTTGTGATGTTGGTGTTAGAAAAACGACACATGCAATGTGGATGTAATTATAAAAAATTGAGATGGAGGCCAAAACAATATAATTAAGAAAACATTCTCCGAAAACGTTATCGACATATATAACAAAAGTGATATATATATTTATCATCAATTTGATACCTAGTTACTTATGGTTACTAGCTAACCTCATTGTGGTGGTGGTGTAGCCTTATTGTGAGTGTACCGGCCCATTGTAGAAGTGTCATGTAATTATGATAGTGTTTGTAAAGAAAAAAAGTAGTAATTGATTATCTACAATGACAATATAACCTCCATGACAATATAATCTCGTTGAACGCATTGCCATCTTAGGTTTTCAGTAACGTTAACATATGCACTAAGCAACAAAAACTTATCATTAAAATCAAGGGTTCTGATTTCCCCACTCCCTTTTTCTCCACTTACACTCCCTTTTGCTTTTTAATACTTTTTAATCAATTTTGTTCTTTCTCTTTCCTATTCTACCCTTACTCTACATTAATTTCTTTTTACTTCATTTTTATATTAGTTCTTTTTATTTATAATTAATTTTTCAACTTGCACTCCATTTTCAGTATTTTTTTTTCCTTTAATCAAGTAAGAAATTAAGTTTTTTTTCTTCTTCCCTTTAATACTGAAAATGGAGTGTAAGTTGAAAATTAAGTATAAAGAAAAAAAAAATAATATAAAAGCGAAGTAAAAAAGAAATTAATATAGGGTACGGATAGAATAGGAAAGAGAAAGAACAAAATTAATTAAAAAGTATTAAAAAGCAAACGGGAGTGTAAGTGGAGAAAATAGGAGTGGAAAAATCAGCTCCCAAAATCAAATAGCAAGCTTATTTCATTTCTTATCGCACCTTTCAAACTACATACAAATATAATTATGTATCGACAATATAGGATTTTGGTTATTTTTCGTCCACGTTTGTTGAAACTAATATATACTATTTGATATGAACATCTCAACGGTTCATTAATATTTATGTTTCTTGTGAGTATTTAATTTTGACTTTTGTGCTCCTCAAAAACTTCATGACTTTTTGTGTCAAGAAGATAAAGAGCTCCATGACCATCAAAATCAAAATCATGTATTTGTGTGTTCATGAATGCCAATCTGAGTCCTTTCACTGAGCAAATATCTAGTGCACCGCTTGCTATTTTGGCAAAGCGAGAGCCACTAATATAGTATAGATCAAAGTAAAAAAGAAAAAGAAAAGGACAACTATAGTATGTGTTATTTTTTTTAATTTTGGTCGTGAGAGGTAGAAATCGAAATGAAACTTCTTTCTGCATTGAAAAGACTAACACTGATGCAATTCCTATGATTTTATAGAGCCCTTCTTTTTTTTTTTTTTTTTTTTTTTTTTTTTTTGGGTTTTTTTTTTGTAGTACAAGCGATAAGGGATGGGGGGTTTACACATATATATTTATTAGGTGTATGGGGGTTTCGAACCTCTACCCACATAGGTGAAGGTAGAAAAGCTCAACCAATTTAGATATACCCCAATGACTTCAAAGAGAAAAAAGAATGGCCAACAAGGGTTGGTTGAGTTGGTATAGATTGTTCTCTTCGCTATCAAGGCCTAGGTTTGAGTCATGCTGCCGACAATCCCTTTTGTGGGAAATCTGTAAGATCCCCTCTGTAAGTCATCAAAGTCAAAGAGGCATTGGTATGCCATGACCCTATCATGGGGTAGCCTCTGATTCCCCTAAACTTTTTGTTTTAGAGAAAGAAAAAAAGAAGGAAATTTGCATAAATACCACCTGAACTTTCAGGTATGTGCGTCATTACCACATGAACTTTTAATTTTTATTTTTAACCACCTGAACTTTGTAAAGTGTTCTAATCCATCACCTACATCTAACTCCGTTAAAATTTCTGTTAAGTTTAAGGGTATTTCGTCAATTAACTATGACAATGAATAATTATATAAAAAAATAGATTATAAAAAAAATGAGTTGACCAAATTACACCGCCTTCACCCTACTCCTACTTTTCCAACGTCAATTCGCTCCACCGCAAAAACTACCCACCCTATGCTCTGCACACACCATACTCTATATTCATCTTTGTCTCTTGGAATCTCTTATGTGGGTTGTTAAAAATTTAGCAAATACATCAACATACCAACTAAGCTCTAGCTTGCCAATGGAATCACAAACCGTTTCTTCCGTGACAGCCAACACAACAAGGAAATTTAGGCTCAAGTCTCCTGTTAAGAAGACAAAGATTTAGAGATCATAGAGGACTTAATTGCTTGGTTGTATTTCTGTTTTCTAATTAATTTGGAGTTTATTATAGGCATGTCCTGTATAAGGACTGCACTGGTGTTTTGGTACTTGAATTTAGGCATTCCTAGAACTTGTTTGTCAATTGCAGATGTTTAGGACCTTTTTGGGATATTTATATATACTAGGAATGCAATTGATTCCTTCCCAAAACCCATGATGAAGTTACAAAATTTAAATTCTAGCTTTGATGTTAAATTTTTTGAATTTGCTGGATTGAGGGTGAGAGAGAGTAATTGTAGTTTGAATTTTTTTTTTTTTTTTTCCGATATGCAAACTTCCATTGAAATGAAGGACAAGCCTTTGAACAAATAGTGCAAGCCATGAAATGAATGCAGGAAGGCTTTGGCAAAAAAAAAAAAAAAGAAGGAAATACAGGAGGGCAACAAAATCAATGGACCATTGCAATCTGATATGATATTTGGTAGAATAAAGACGATGGAGTAGAGAGAAGAGAGAGAGAGATAAGGAGGTTAATTTTATTTTTTTGTATTTTTAATTCTGTTTTTTTATATAATTATTTTTAGTTATAGTTCATTGACGAAAATACCCTTAAATTAACTAAAACTTTAACTGAGTTAGACGTATGTGGTGGATTGCAACACTTTACAAAGTTCAAGTGGTTAAAAATAAAAATTAAAAGTTCAGGTGATAATGACGCACATGCCTAAAAGTTCAAGTGGTATTTATGCAAATTTCCCAAAAAAATGTGAGTGCAAACTCATAAGCAAGGGAAACTGAACTAAAAATATACAAAAACACAAAAAACAAGAAGTTAAATTGTGTGGCTGCTGGGATTCGAGCCCAGGTCTCCACGGCCACAACGTGGAATTCTTACCACTAAACTACAGCCACTGTTGTTGTCAAGTTTCATTTAATATTTATAACATGATGGTATTGTAGGCCCTCGTGAAAGATGGCTGCCCATTGAAATGTGTTCTACTTGTAGGTACGGGTTCAAGTTTCCTTGAAATGTGTTGATAAAAAAGCAACTCGAAATTGGTGGTAATTGTTGGTGACGTTTCGGGTTCGAGTCGTATCAATGTATTAAACAGGTTGAGTGAGTCATTTCATGTTGGTATGTTGACTAGAATTTAACTCATAATTTTTATTGTGTTGCTTACTCGTGTAAATTTCGTGAAGGTTTCGAGTGTTGAAATTTGACACCCTACCATAAATAAGCTTACCAAACAGACCAAGCAAGAATAAATAAAGCCCAACAACATCGAAAAAAGCCCAATTTAACAACCGAAAGCCCAAAGACAGAAGCCGAAGCAAGACAAACCGACTCCAGGCTCCAGCTAAGGCAAACCAACAATCACAAACTTGTCGATTAATTTGTCTGATCATGGTTGGAAGATCAATCGATTAATTAGTTGTTTGAGTCTTAATTGCCCCACTAATTTTGTAATTGTTCACCGTTTTGCGTTTACTCCTATGATGGAAGGGCAAAGTTCCCCACTGCCTTGAGAACCATAAACTGGTCAACAAGTCAGCTTTCTTTGGTGTGCGAGTGTGCCACTGCTAGTAATAAAAATTCTAGCAGACTTAGTTTGGAATGGATAACTTGCGCCCCAAGTTACTGATTTCTGCAAACAAGCGATTGTGAATTTGGGTGAGGAATATCTCCCAAGTAAGTTCTTTTCTTGCCTCAGATTGGTGAGGACTTTAACAATTTATCTCAGTATAAAGAGGTTGTTCTGGCCAGGATGGTTGATGGGATTTAAACTGTTTTTAGGCAGAACCGCCTTTTACAAAAATATAACAATAAATGCTCATGTTAGAGAGAGATGGAGAGACAGCTGGAACTCCATTTCTATCGGGATGGAAGGTTCTGATCCGGGCTGGACTGGAAATGCCCAGGCTGGACTGGACCGTTGACAACTTTGACTGCTAAGCTTTAACTGTAAATCGATACCAAAGGTTGATTCTGGCAGAGCTTCAATGTACCTCAAACTTTTGTGAAGCTTTTGAGTGGGCAGAACTGCGGTTTCCTCAGTCTGCACGGGCAGAAGTGACTGTTTTTGAGGGCTTCAGTGGGCTAGAGATTGCACTATGAATTTTGTTGAGGTTTTCCAAGTTTGGAGAAAGCTCAAGCTCTACCTATCTTGGTTTTTTGCTGAACCAAATTTGTAACGAGAGAAATCTCGTTTTGAATGACTCATTTTCTAAGTCTGAGCCTTGGGAATTCTGATCTGAAGCTGGTTTCACTTGAAATTCAAGTGGGCTTTTTGATTGATTTTTGAGTTGTGTATTTGACTGATGGTTTTCTTGGGTAAGATTTTTGTTTTGATTGGATGTTGAATTTTTTGTTGTCCTTTGCCCTGTTCACTCCTTCTTGTATTTATAGTAAAAATGTTTTTCTGGAGTAGGGTGATTCTGTTTAATAATGGGCGGCAAATCTTTTCAAAAGATATCTCTCCTTTTTTTCTTTTTTAATGGAAAGAAAGGAAATAGGATTTCATCAGTTTGGCAGATAGGCTCTTAAATAGGCAATCACTTCCCTGTTTTTCTTGAAAAATAACCTAATCTCTTTTTCCAATTTTAACTGCCCCTTGTGAGATTTCATCCGTGATGGTTAGTTTGATTTCTTTTCTGGACAGCTCCCTGCTTTCCTGCTTATCTTTCTCTGAGATTGTAGCTTGCTTATCTCTTTGGGAGAATTACCTTCTCTGTAGAATAGAAGAAAAAATCTCTGAATATATATGTAAGAGGGATTTTGATCTTCAGATTTTTCAGGGTTCTCAAAACAGCTTGATGACATAAATTTTTCAATCACTTCTTCTATGACAGTTGCCAATGTTGACTTTCTTTATCCCAGAGATGTCACGTGGGTTTGTTTCTTGTTTCTGGGCTCCCCCCTTTTTTATCACAACGGGCCTGTGAGGCCCAGGTTAGTTTTGTTCGCTTTGATAAGCTTTGGGCTGGGCTCTTCTGGATTTTGGGCTTCCATCTTCCTGTTTTCTGAAGACCAAATTGCTTTGATATTTTGTAGCCTTATTCTGGGCCTCTTTCGCTGGGCTGGGTGTGTCAATTTGTAGGCCCAAACAATGCCCCCTTAAGTCTGAATCGTTTTTGGAACGGTTTCAGACTTAAATGACATGGCCATTAAATTGGTGAGTGGTAAATTCTTCCGTTATCCCACGTCTGCCACGTTTCCCCATTAAGCTAGTGCCCGTGTGAAATAGCTTCAGTTACTAGCTCTTTATTAGCTAGTCAATATCAGATGACGCCTTGTCTTCTCCACGTCGCTGTCTTCTCTTTCCCACGTTTTCTGGCTTCTTTAAAAGAATTTCAAAAACCCACTGTTCCTGTTCACCCGAAAACCTAGTACTTTCAGACTTCATCTCTCTTGAGCTTTCTTTCGATAACTCCCTTTTGCTAGAACCTGTCTTGCCCTTCCTGTCAACCTTCCTCTTAGAAAAACAATTCTGAGAAATGTCTTCCTCGAAATCCCGTGCTCAATCTTCCTCTGTTCCAGTTCCTCCAGATTACATTACTGGGGCTGGGATTGATAAGCATGCAATAGAGGTTAGGAGCAAGCTCCATCCTTTTGCCCAGAAAAACCTAGACGAAAATGTCCTCCATTTGTTTGAAAATACCTTGGTGCTGGGGCCTCACTGGTTTGGTCCCGTTCCTCCCAAGATGGTAGAGCTGATGAAGAAGGATGCTGAGGCCCCTCTATGTTTCGAAAGTTCTTCTGCCCTGGCTTCTCATTCTTGGGTTAGCAAGAATTTGAGCCGTTTGTTCCCATCCAGTGAAGTGAGAAACAGTCCAGTCAAGTGGGCAGACTGGTTTGACAGGCTTCTTCCCCGATTTGGGGCTCACTGGAAATGGGTTGGAATTTAAGACGCCATACTTCTGTCCAGGCAATCCATCAACACAGATGAGAGCCTACTTGCTGCTGCTCTGTGTTTCTGGAATTCTGCCAGTAACACTTTGACTTTCGCATAGGCCCCATGGCTCCAACTCTGCTGGACATGGCTCAGATTTTCGGGTTTAGGCCTCATGGAAGACCTGTTGATGCTATTGGTGATTATCACAGGAAGAAAAACCAGCAGAAGCTAGCCAAGCCATTCAACATCTCTCCAGCCCTGATCAACTAGAATTGCTCCTTCTCCAATTATCTCAGAAAATTCAGTGCTGAGAAGGACAAGGACCAGCAACATATGCTGTTCCTTCTGTATTGGCTGAACATGTTTATTCTGCCCAACCACTCTTCTGTAGTTCTGCTTGAGTATAGACATTTGGCAGAAGCTTTGCATAATCACACTGATGTTGGACTCGGGCCTACAGTTCTGGGTCATCTATTCAAGAACCTGCACACTGCCACCCTGGAGTATCCGCTAAATTTGTCTGCCCCTGGTGCATTCTGGATGATTCAGATCTGGCTGCAGGTCTATTTTTCTAAATTGAGGTTTCCAGACATAGTTCTGCCTGAGGATCAGGTTCTGGCTTAGCCACTGTTGTCGGCAGAAGTCCCCAAGAGGTCGATTGATGAGTACCTGATGTTCTTCAGACATTGTACCAAGAGGTCTGCAGCGCAGTGGCAAGTGGTGATCAGGAGAACCTATCCTTGGTTTCAACCTGGATACCGTTTGTTTGAGAAGGAGCCAGAAGAAGAATCTGCCAAAACTGATTTCAGGAAGAAGTTCCTGAGTGTGACCTTGCCCAGAGATCTGCCTCATGGAGGTGGAAAGCCTCCAAATTATCATTTGGGGGCAGAAGTTTACCATCCCAACGTCTGTGCAAGGCAGCTTGGCTGTCCTCAGCTTATACCCCTCAAGTCATACAAAAGCTGCAATCGAGGCTCTTCTTGGAGGGATGCAGATGACTTAGAGGTCCACAAAGATGCCAGGTGCGCAGTAAATAAGATTAACAATAGTGCCGATGCCCTTTATCCTTCATGGGAACTGAATTCCTGCAGTTCTGCGGAGTTTGATGCTTGGTGGAAGGCCAGATTTCGTGATCTGCCTGCTTCTAGTACCGCACTTCAGGTTCTTTTTAAGGGTTGGGACAACTGGACTGTCCACACAGACGAGGAGACTCATAAATTCATGGTGCAGACCATCAAAGACATTAATCTGCAAGTTATAGAAGGTAATTTCTCAATTCTGTCTGTCGTTGCCCATTCTGTCTTTAGTGATGATGCTAATCTTTTATTCTGTCTGTAATCAGATCCTTCTTTGACAAAGAATATTGGTAGCCAACCTGCCCAGAGCGGAGAGGTGTTTGGTAAGTTTTCATGTTTATTCAGCTTCTCCTATCATTTCTTTGCTGGATTGATCCTTGACTTTTGTTTTCTGCACAGTTAATTCTGTTATTGCTGCTGGGGATTTGGAGCTGCCCTCCAGGGATGGAGAAGAGGAAGAAGAAGAAGAGGAAGAAGATCAGGTAGAACAGACTCCTGTCGAGGCCACTTCTCCTATTAGAAGAAAAAGAAAAGAAATTGCCCAACTTGTGACTCCAGGTATATTTTGACAGTTTCTTTTTGAGTTCTTCTAATTCTGTTATGCCATAATTCTTAAGGCTTATTTTCTGTTCATTGCAGCTGGGAGTCCCTTTCCTCCCCCTACTAAGTCAAAAAGACTTAGAAAGAAGACTGTAGAAGAATATGTGGCCCCGGAGGGAACTAGGGCAGTTCCTACCACCACTTCTGGCACGGATGACAATCTGAGAGAGGCTTTCGAAGCTGTGGAGCAGGAGAAGGAGCTGGAAGAGCTAGAAGAAGTAGGAGAGGGGCCTCAAGAGAAGGCCAAGACAGTGGAAGAAGAGGTGAGTCTTATTTATTTGGCAGTATTTGTTTCTGCTGCCCTTTTATTTCTTCTATTCTGACTTCTGTGCATTCGTAGGAGGAAATTCCTGCTGAGGTAATAGCGGAGAGGATTGCCTTGGCTCGGAAGCAGCAGGAAGATATAGGGGCAGAGCTAACTAACTCAGAGTTGGCCCTGTTTGATGATCCAGAGGCAGAACATTCTAATGTTGTTCCAGCAGCTGAGGATCAGGCGGAGCAATCTGGATCAGAGCCTGTGGAGCAGGCAGAACAAGTGGTTGCTGCTCCTGAAACCGTAGTGAAAGTGGCTGCTGCCGTTCCTAGCTTTATGGTGAGTTCTGTCCTTACTCTGTCTTCTCCTGTCTTATGTAGTTTTGTCCTGTTCTTTTGTCTCCCTAACCATCAAATCTTTACAGGTAGAAATACCAAAAACTGTTGGGACCTTGGCAGTGAGGACCACCTCCTTGCAACCTCCGATTGTTGCTGTAAGTGTTATTGTATTTTTGTCTTCTTCTTTTCTATTTCTGCCTAGTTCTGACTTATGCTTCCTTCTACATATGCCTATTCATTTCCTTGTAGGTTCATCTGCCACGGCCTCTTTTGCTGATCCGGAGCTGGCAGAATTCGAAGCCATGGACCTAGCTGCCCAGCTGGACAAGTTGGAAAAGCTCAGCTCCCCTGTAGGCAAGATAAAGTCCAAGGCAGTGGAAGAGGCAATGGAGAGACTGAAGATCTGGCAGTTTACTGAAGTGGAGCTGGATGAGGACAGGGAGGCCTTTGACCAGCTGATGAAGGATCTGGACCTACTGCACAGACAGAACATGGCCCCAAAACCTATACTTGAGATGAGCCTTGTCTTGGCAAGGGATGTGCTCAACCTTCACGACCGTTATGAGGATCTGAAGCCCACCTTCAAAACCTCTGAGTTCTGCAAGGCCACTCATGAAGCCAACTTGGCTGATTTTGCAAAACAGAAGACAGAACTGGACCAGATGGTGGTGGGGTATAAAGAAGCCAAAGCCACTGCGAACAAACTGGAGAAACAGATTGCAGAGATTCAAAAGCAACTGGCAGAGCGCCGGGAAGTGCAGCACAAGCTCGGGGCTGGATTGAGCTCCAAGACTAAGGCCACTTTCCTTGTGCAGAACATGGTTGCAGCTTCTAGGCCAGCCCTGGAGATTGCAGAGGCTTCAATTCATCAGGGAGTGCTGCTCCAAAAAGAACTTTCTATCAAGAAGACCAATCTGCAAGAGACTCTCAGAAAATTAGGATTTTGATTTTGTTATTTATTTATGCTTTCTTATTTTTGCTTTTTGATGAACAATTTGCCATGGGGAAGGCCCCACGGCTTATTTATTTTAAAAAAAGTTTATTTTTGTTGCAATTCTAGTTTTTAATTTCTATTTATGAAATAAACAGAATCAGAAGTAGAAGTACAAAAAGAACAAACTTAAAATAACTTTAGAACAAAGATAACTTTAAACGGAAACAAAAGTTTTTAGTGTAGTCCCGTCTCTATCCCAAGATCTGTTTGTACAGCCTGTGAATCCCACATGGTTGGATAAAACTTTTTTAACCATTTGCCATTGATTGGGGCAGTATGAATTTCTCCATCCCTATCCTGCAACCTGTATGCCCCCATTCCAAGAATCTGATTGATTATGAAAGGGCCTTCCCATGTAGGTGACCACTTTCCATAACCAGCCAGATGTGTTCCAAGGGGCAGAACTGCTTTCCAGACTATCTCTCCCTCTTCAAAACTCTTGTTCTTGACTCTTTTGTTGTAAGCCCTTGATACAGCTTGCTTTCCTGCCAGGAGTTTGTTGAGAGTGTCAATTCTGCTTGCATCCAATCCTTCTAGTTCCAGCAGCATGGCTTGGGAGTAGTTTTCTCCTACTAAGTTATGTTGTTGAGCAATTCTGAGGGACTGAACAGCTATCTCCATAGGCAGAATTGCATCATGACCGTAGGTTAATGCATAGGGAGTCATGCCAGTTGCTTCTCTTTTTGAAGTTCTATATGCCCACAGAGTTTCTGACAACTTCTCATGCCACTGTTTTGGATTCTTCTCAAGCATTTTTCTGATAATGTTGATGACCACTTTGTTGGTTGATTCCGCCTGCCCATTGGCTTGGGCATAATAAGGAATGGGCTGGAGCAGTCTGAATTTGAATGCCTTTGCCATGTCCAGCATTTCTCCGGATATGAAAGAAGATCCTCTATCAGTTGTGATTGATTTTGGGATGCCAAATCTTTGTATAATCTGTTCTTCTATGAAAATGATGATCTCTTGAGCTGTAGTGGTTTTAATAGGCTTGGCTTCTACCCACTTAGTGAAATAGTCTGTGGCAACAATGATAAAGCAGTGCTGCTGGGTGCTGGTTGGATAGATCTTGCCAATGAGATCCATTGCCCATCCTCTAAAGGGCCATGGTTTTACCACTGGATTCATGGGAATTGAAGGAGCCTGCTGGATTGGGCCGTGTCTTTGACAAGATTCACACCCCTTGGAATAGTTAATGCAATCTTTCATCATGGTTGGCCAGAAGTAGCCATATCTTCTAATTAACCGGCACATTTTTCTCCCACCTTGATGTGCTCCACAGATTCCTTCATGGGTTTCTCCCATGACTTTCATGTATTCTTTCTTCCGAGGCACCTTAAAAGCACCTCATCCTTACTCTTTCGGACCAAATCTTCGTTCCACATAAGGTAGTTTAAAGCCATGATTCTGACTCTCTTTTCAGAGGGCAGAGTTGGATATCGTAAGTAAGTCATGATAGGATTTCTCCAATAATCTTCAGTGATTGTGGCAGAATTGACATCTATTTCCATCCCCCTGGTCAGAACAGATGGTAGGCTTTTCTTCCCTATCCTGATGATTCTTTGTACACAATCTTCGGGCATTTGTATGCTTGTTGCCACCTGAGCCAATTCATTGGCTGCAAAATTTTCTTCCCTTGGGATATGTTCCCAAGTGGCTTCTTTGAATTCTGTCAGAAGATTCCTGGCTGCCACCAAGTAGACGGCTAGAGAAGGACTTAGGCACTTGTATTCCCCAGCAATTTGTTTTAAAACTAGCATGGAATCTCCCAAAATTTCCACAGATTGGATTCCTAGTTCTACCAGCATTTCCAAGCCAATGATTAAAGCCTCATATTCTGCCTTGTTGTTGGTGCACTGGAAATCCAATTGGAAAGAGTAACAGTGTCTGATTCCAAGTGGTTCTTCCAAAACAATTCCTGCCCCAGAAGCTATATCAGTTTTTGATCCATCAAAGTATAACTTCCAAGGTGCAAGATGAACTGAATAGATAGGATTGTTGAGGCAGATGTGAGCTCTGGTTAATAGATCTGCATTTGCTATGTCTAAAGAGTCCATGTTTTCAATCTCCTCCCCGGGATGATCTGCTAGGAAGTCTGCCACAGCTTGTCCTTTGACGGCTTTCTGAGGAACATATCTGAAGGCAAATTCTGTCAAGGCCAAGGTCCATTTTCCAATTCTGCCTCTCAGCATTGGTCTTGTTAGCATGTATTTGATCAGATCTGTTTTGGCAATGATGTAGATGGTGTATGGCAGCATGTAATGTCTGAGCTTCACAGCAGTGAAGTACAAGGCTAGGCAAAGTCTTTCAATTGCAGAATATTTTCTTTCCACCTCTGTCAGAGTTCTGCTCAGGTAGTAGACTGCATGTTCCTTCCCTTCCTTGTTATCTTGAACCAATAAACTCCCAATGGATACTTCTGATGCAGATACATAGAACTTGAGTGGTCTGCCCCTCTTTGGTGGGGACAGAACTAGTGGATTTGAGAGGTAATGCTTGATTTCCTCAAAAGCTTGTTGGTGCTGTTCTTCCCACTTAAAGGTTTGTTCCTGTTTCAATCTTAACAAATAAGAGAAAGGCTGGATCTTTCTTGCAGAATTGGATATAAATCTCCTTAAAAAATTAATTTTTCCTAAGAGACTCTGCAATTCTTTCTTGTTCCTAGGCGGCAAAGCTTCTATGATGGATTTTGCTTTGTTTTTGTCGATCTCTATGCCTCTTTGGTGGACCAAGAATCCTAGGAAATTTCCCGCTTAAACTCCAAAAACGCACTTCTTTGGGTTCATTTTCAGTTTATGTTACCTCATTCTTAGGAATGCTCTTCTTAGATTTGTCATGTGGTTTACCTCATCTGGTGATTTAATCACCACATCATTAATATAAACTTCCAAGGAATGCCCTATCATATCATGGAAAACAGAATTAATTGCCCTTTGATAAGTAGCCCCTGCATTTCTTAAGCCAAAAGGCATTACAGTGTATTCAAAAGCACCTATATGTCCTGGACACATGAAGGCTGTTTTGTGGATGTCTTCTTCTGCCATCATGATCTGATTGTAACCTGCGTTGCCATCCATAAAAGATAGCATCTGGTTGTGGGCAGCTCCATCTACTAGCATGTCTGCCATTGGCATAAGGTACTCATCCTTGGGAGAGGCGTCATTCAGATTTCTGTAATCCACACAAATTCTGACTGCCCCGGTTTTTCTTTTCAGAACTGGTACAATATTAGCTAGCCAATCAGCATAGATGGCTGGCCTGATGAATCCTACCTTAAGCAACCTTTCTATTTCTTCCTTGACTTTCAGTTCTGTGTCCATGGACATCCTTCTTCTGGCCTGTTTGACTGAAAGGTATCCCTCTTTGATTGGCAGCCTGTGTTCTACCAATTCCCTATCTAATCCTGGCATCTCATGATAATGCCAAGCAAAACAATCTCTGAACTTTTGTAGAAGTGCAATGAGTTCATTCTTAAGTGGTTCTTTCAATAGTGCGCTGATAAAGGTAGGCCTTGGATTCTCCCCTGTCCCTAAGTTTATTTCCTGTAAAGGATCTTCCACTTCTGGCAGAGAGTCATCCAGTGCAGCTGGTGCAAAATCTAACACTTCCTCCTGTAGTTCCTCTTCCTCCTGGTCTTCTGTGCTTTCATGAGTGAATTCTGCCATATTGATGGCTGGATTCTGCGCAAAAAGCTTTCTTTCCTCCCAGTATATCAACAATCTTTTTGTAATGGATCGGATTGTTGCAGCTCGATCCTTCTCCCGTTGATTGGGACTAAACATCAGAGTTCCGGAAGTTTAGAACAAAAGGTCTGTTACAGTCCTCCAAAGAGTTGGTTAGACCTTCTTCAATGAGCCTCTGGGCCGTGACACCATGGGGGCGACCGTTCTGGTTGACTCCAAAGAAGGTGAAAGGACCAAGGTCATCATGATAGTACCTTGCCTCACAACACATGGCAGAAGGTAGAAATAGCCGTGGATCGGCCTTTACTATCTCCATGTAGCCTTCTTCATTCCATAAAGCTAACTGTTGATGAAGAGTGGAAGGAACACATAGACTCTGATGAATCCAGTCTCTCCCAAGCAGTGCATTGTAAGTGGTAGAAGTAGTATCTACCACAAAGAATGCAATCTTCAGCTTCTTGCTTCCTACTATAACATCCACATCCAGGATCCCAAGGGTTTTGATGATGTCCCCTGCGAAATTGGTGACGGTCAAGCGGGTTGGAATTAAATCCGCTTCTATTCTGCCCATTTTGCTCAGCATTCTGTGAGGCAGAAGGTTGATGGCTGCACCTCCATCTACCATAATTTTGGGGATAGGAACACCCCCGAAGTTTGCTGTTATAAACAAGGGTCTGAGGTGGTTTGCCATTTCTTTGGTTGGTTTGGAGAAGCAAAGCTGGTCTGCAGCTAGTTTGTTGGCAGTTCCTTCTGTCCTGGGATTGCCTGCTTGCTGCTCTGGCATCTCTTCTGCTTCTGCCAACCTGCATTCAAAACTCTCATGGGAAAATACATCTCCGTCCAGAGTGCTTTCCTGTCCCTCTGCGGCCCAGAACTTTTCTAGCAGAATGAACACCATATTGATGCCTAGGTCACCTCGTAACAAGTCCTCCAATTCTGCACCAAATGCCTCAGTTTCTGCATCCAATCCTTCGTCATAATCCATCTGTTCTCCACCGTATTCCTCTGTCCATTCTCCCTGTTCTTCCATTCCGAGGAGCACATTCTGGTCATCTGCAGATGGCTCATAATCCAGCTGCTCCTCTTCATACTCCTCAGTCCAGTCCTCTTGCCCTTCTTCTGGAATAGGATCGGTTTTTTCCTCTGGTTGTGGAGTTTTAAGTAGATTTCCTGAGGTGGAGGTAGGATGGATAGAAGGTTTCCTTGAAGATTCTGCTTTCGTCAACCTCTGTGGATGAGAGATTGCTTGTTCTGTCTGGGGAAGTACTTCTGGCTCTTTCCCTTTCTTGGCAGAATTGGTCTCTGGAAGTACCTATGCATTGTTCTTGTTATTGAGGAATGTGCAGTACTGTCTCTGAACCCTCCTCCGTTGAGTTCTTGTTAACTCCATTGTTGGTTTGCCATTCTTCTCGACAGAACACCACCTGCCTTCAATGATGGCTGCTAGTGGTTTTTCACTTCCGGGCATTTTTATTGATATTTCCTCCTTGGGCTGCTTAGTCATTCTTTTGCTGGGTTGGACAGGCCTGGGGTAGTTTCTCTGTTTGGCTCTATCATGGGACGTGGTCCCAATCCGGTCAAAAACACTTGGAGTGGGCAGTTCCTGTTTGTCCAGGACCACTTCCAGCTCAGCCTTACACTTGCACCTGCTGCAGAGCACTACCCCAGCTGAAATGGTTGCTTTTGGTCTCTCTATAGTCTCTTTTGAAACTATTCTGCTTCTACTGGAGCTAGCCTCTATAGCTGGTCTGCCCCTCTTCTGTTCTGGCCAATTTAGGTTGACCATGTTAACTTGTGGCGGGGGAAAAGGGTCTGTGGTGACAGATGGAGGTTTTTCTGCCAGCTTTAGCCTTCCTGCTATTATCCCTTCCTGTATGACATCTCTGAAAACAACACAACTATTGGTACAATGATTCCCAGAATTGTGCCATCTGCAATACTGTCTGCCCTTGAGTTCTTCTGGTTTGGGCATTCTGTGGGGTGTCTCTATTGCTTTCTGCAGCAACATTTCATCAAACAAGGCATCCACATTGGTCATTGGTCAGATCAAAGGAATACACCTTGTTCTGCGTTGGTTTGTTTGGAACAAACCCTCCTGTGAATGGTGGCGGCTTCTGATCTCTTGGAGGCTTTGTAAGAGTTTTACAACTGATGGGATGCTTTAATTTTGCCATTTCTGCAACTGCAACCTCTCTCTCTTCCGATCCTTCTGTATCTTCTTCTTACTCTACTTCAATCATATGTATTGAAGAAGAAGGGGATTTGTAATATGTGCCTTTGGAAGAGTTTCTCTTCTGCTGTTCCTCCCTGAGCAGTTCCTCCTACTTGGATGCTTTATCTGCCAGTTCTGCCAGATCTCCAAACAGCATCCCATGAAATCTTTTTCTCAGAGAAATCTTGAGGGCAGCCTGAGCCATTTGGATGAAGTGTCTTTCTTCCATGGGGATTCGGCACTTCATTTTGAGCTTCCTGAATCTGTTTATAAAGTCTTGGGCAGGTTCATCTTCACTCTGTTTGAGGGCGGCAAGGTCACTGATTGTGACTTCTGGCTGAATCCTATAATAGTAGTCATGGAAGACACTCTCCATTTGTTCCAAAGTTTGAATGGAGTTTGCTGGCAGATTGGTGTACCAAGTGAAAGCTTGTCCAGAGAGAGAATTCCCGAAAAGCCTTAGCTTTAATAGTGGGTTATTCTCTATGGCTATGCATTGTCCTGAGAGAGAATTCCCGAAAATCTGCCTATGTGCTCGACTGATGAAGCATGGGGATCCTCTCCGTTGAATAAAGTGAAGTTCGGCACTTTGAAACCTGGGGACAAGGGAGGAGATTTAAAGCATTAACAGGGAGGAGATTTTGCCCCTGTTCTGGCTGGGCATAATTAATTCTAGGTTCTGCCCTATATGGCCTAGGCAGAACTTCTTCCCTGTGTTCCTCCTGTTCTTCCAGACCTGGGTGGTTCCTCTAGTTTGCCCCCAGCCTGTTCCTGTCATTGTTAGCATAAGGGTAGTTTCCCCCCTCAGCCTCTCCTTCCTCTTGCAGGTGGGGGGAATGGATTGGGATCCATCCTTCTGGGCCTGTAGGGTAATACTGCTGGCTGTTCAGGCAGAATTGCCATAGGGTGATCATGTGGGGCAGCTTGTTGTGGAGCAGGCTGAGGCTCTGGTTGATTCTGCTGAACTTGTCCTGGCGCAGGGCCTTCTGGCCGCATTGGGGCCTGACGTTCTTGGATAGGAAGAGCTCATTCCCTCTGCCCAGCCTGGATTTCCCCTCGTTCTGGCATTCCAGCTATCTGTGCAATAAGAGGATTCTCTTGCTATGGCCATGCCAATCCTGGTGGGGGACCATAGGGAAGGTCTAGTTGCTGGACTACCTCATCTGGATTGGGAATTCTAGCCATGGCAGCCTCACGGTCCTTCTTGAATTGCCTGTTGACCTGTCATTGCATCATGGCTGTCATATTATTTAGAGTATCCTGGCTCCGTTGTGTTGTGACCTCTTGTCGTAACACAGATTCCTGTATCAGGTTCATCCTTCTGGAGCCGGTCCTGGACCTTCTGCTCCATGTGCTGCCATGTGCTGAGTGCCGGGCATCACTCTCTTCTGACTCCAGTCCTTCCCTGAGAGCCACTTGGTTTATCTCCATGTCGTGGTGTGGGTTCTGGCTAGAGCTTCCAGTATTCATGAACTTGAGGAGAACTCTATGAGAATATGTATACTGAGAAGTCCCACTGGGCGTGCCAAATTGTTCACCCGTTTTGCGTTTACTCCTATGATGGAAGGGCAAAGTTCCCCACTGCCTTGAGAACCATAGATTGGTCAACAAGTCAGCTTTCTTTGGTGTGCGAGCGTGCCACTGCTAGTAATAAAAATTCTAGCAAACTTAGTTTGGAATGGATAACTTACGCCCCAAGTTACTGATTTCTGCAAACAAGCGATTGTGAATTTGGGTGAGGAATATCTCCCAAGTAAGTTCTTTTCTTGCCTCAGACTATAGAGGACTTTAACAATTATCTTAGTATAAAGAGGTTGTTCTGGCCAGGATGGTTGATGGGATTTAAACTGTTTTTAGGCAGAACCGCCTTTTACAAAAATATAACAATAAATGCTCATGTTAGAGAGAGATGGAGAGACAGCTGGAACTCCATTTCTATCGGGATGGAAGGTTCTGATCCGAGCTGGACTGGACCGTTGACAACTTTAACTGCTAAGCTTTAACTGTAAATCGATACCAAAGGTTGATTCTGGCAGAGCTTCAATGTACCTCAAACTTTTGTGAAGCTTTTGAGTGGGCAGAACTGCGGTTTCCTCAGTCTGCACGGGCAGAAGTGACTGTTTTTGAGGGCTTTAGTGGGCTAGAGACTGCACTGTGAATTTTGTTGAGGTTTTCCAAGTTTGGAGAAAGCTCAAGCTCTACCTGTCTTGGTTTTTTGCTGAACCAAATTTGTAACGAGAGAAATCTCGTTTTGAATGACTCATTTTCTAAGTCTGAGCCTTGGGAATTCTGATCTGAAGCTGGTTTCCCTTGAAATTCAAGTGGGCTTTTTGATTGATTTTTTGAGTTGTCTATTTGACTGATGGTTTTCTTGGGGATGATTTTTGTTTTGATTGGATGTTGAATTTTTTGTTGTCCTTTGCCCTGTTCACTCCTTCTTGTATTTATAGTAAAAATGTTTTTCTGGAGTAGGGTGATTCTGTTTAATAATGGGCGGCAAATCTTTTCAAAAGATATCTCTCCTTTTTTTCTTTTTTAATGGAAAGAAAGGAAATAGGATTTCATCAGTTTGGCAGATAGGCTCTTAAATAGGCAATCACTTCCCTGTTTTTCTTGAAAAATAACCTAATCTCTTTTCCAATTTTAACTGCCCCTTGTGAGATTTCATCTGTGATGGTTAGTTTGATTTCTTTTCTGGACAGCTCCCTGCTTTCCTGCTTATCTTTCTCTGAGATTGTAGCTTGCTTATCTCTTTGGGAGAATTACCTTCTCTGTAGAATAGAAGAAAAAATCTCTGAATATATATGTAAGAGGGATTTTGATCTTCAGATTTTTCAGGGTTCTCAGAACAGCTTGATGACATAAATTTTTCAATCACTTCTTCTATGACAGTTGCCAATGTTGACTTTCTTTTATCCCAGAGATGTCACGTGGGTTTGTTTCTTGTTTCTGGGCTCTCCCCTTTTTATCACAACGGGCCTGTGAGGCCCAGGTTAGTTTTGTTCGCTTTGATAAGCTTTGGGCTGGGCTCTTCTGGATTTTGGGCTTCCATCTTCTTGTTTTCTGAAGACCAAATTGCTTTGATTTTTTGTAGCCTTATTCTAGGCCTCTTTCGCTGGGCTGGGTGTGTCAATTTTTAGGTCCAAACAAGTAGACACCATGCTTTAATTCGAATTGAACTATGAATGGGAAGAGTATGTATGGACATTCAACAACAAGGATTAGATACATACTTGGTTGTTTAAAATGTTCTTCTATGCTTAATGGATTCCTAATGCTTAATTTAGGTTAGACAACATATGATAAAATTAAGGAATTAGGAATACCATGTTAGGACAGACACCATGGCTTAATCATACTTTAGCTAGAATCAATCCGTTAATCTAAATTGAACTAGGGAACTTATTTGCTTGAGTTAGTTAGTTTTTTCTTTCTTTCTTATTTTATGTTCTTTCCTTTCTTGTTTTTTGTTTTGTGTAGGGAAATTGAATTGGATCAATCTATCATCAATCCTCATGGGATCGACCTTGCACTTACATATGCTATACTACCAAACGGCTCGTGCATTTGTGAGTATCACAAGTTGAGGATGCAGCTAAATCCATTTTTGTGAAGCTGATCTGACGACAACTAGTTTTTGGCGCCGTTGCTGGGGATTGGCAACATAGTTTGGTTGTAGGGTTTAGCAAGCAACTGGGAAGCGCCTTAGAGATGACGACGAGGGGCGAGTTGTCGACATCTTGGGGAAGAGGAAAGCGCTGGAGGAAGCTCGCCAGAGTGTGATGGGGATGGGGCCGAGGCTTCCTCCTTTTGATCTACAAGGACCGCCAAAGCTCCCCTTCGGTATTGAGGATGTTTTTGCTGAGGGGGTGGAGAAGGTGGACTTCTCCAAGCTACGTCGTCAGAAGAAGGAGGTGAACCTGGCCATGCATTGGCAGGAGGCTCTGGTGAGGACTCAGGCTTCTTCCTTTGCTGATTGTGCCTAGAACACGATCCTTACTTCTGCATATGGAAGTTATCTATGTTTGTGAATTTGTTCTTATCATTGTGGTTTGCTCACTGATGATGCTTTCTTTTGCAGGCCTTTGGCGAGATGCATGTCAACATGGTTAAGGTAGATAAGGAGATTTAGAGGCTAAAGAGGCGCAATGAGATGACCAAGAGGAAGATGGTGGAGGCGCAAGAGGCCATTCGAGAGAGGACCACCCTGCAGTTGCAGAAGGCAGCACTGGCCAAGGAGGTGGAGGAGCTGAAACGGTCGAAGGCCGAGGAGGTAGCTGTTGCCCGAGTCGAAGTAGTCGAGTCGTTCCGAACGTCAGAGGAGCTGAAGAGTTATATCATGGACCAGTTGGTAGATGAGCAGCTTTGTTGGGAGGAGAGACTGGCGAGGTTCAACCCTTCGGTTGAAATCAACTTCAATATGAGTGACAAGCCTCCTTCACCTAGTCCTACCGCTGATGCCACTGCCATTGCACCAGAGTCAAAGTCGGCCACCGCGGATGCCCCATCTACCGAGTCTTGAAGGCGTTGCCTTCCTTATGTACTCTAGTTATTTGTTTGGAACACTTGATGTTTATTTATGCTATGTATGAACATTTTGCCTTGCTTGGGGGCAAGGTTATTTTGATTTGCTATGATATTAGACTTGTTGTCCTTTGATATCAGTTGTGCTAGCAAAAGAATAATCATGTGATTTATGAGAATCAGCCAGAGTCGGGTGTTTCATTAAATAGGTACCGAAAGGCAAAAGGTACAAAAGTTGGTTGAGGCAAGGCTCAAGACCAAAGTCTAAGAAAACATAATGTCCTAGGGTCTAGGTGTATTTACTTATAGTAGTACTTGAGGTGATCAGCGTTCTAAGGATGAGGCAAAGTCTTGCCCTTAGGATCACGAAGCTGATAAGTGTCAGGGTGACAGACTTTGGTAATCTCATAAGGGGCTTCCCATGTATGGCCCAAGGTACCTTCAGTAGGGTTCTTGGTGGACAAGGAAACCTTACGCATGACTTAGTCCCCAATCTTGAAAGCACGGAGATTGACTCGGGAGTCATAGTATTTGGCGATACGCTGTTTGTACACGACGTTGCGCATGTTGGATTGGTCACGAAGCTCGTCAATGAAGTCAAGGTTCAGGGCTAACTGCTCGTCATTGGCTTCGGCATCATAAGTGGAGGTTCAGTATGTGGGCTGGCCAATCTCCACTGGTGTCACGGCTTCGGTACCGGAGGAGAGAGAGAACGGTGTTTCTCCTGTGGAAGTAGGTGGTGTGGTAGGACCAGAAAACCTCTGGGAGTAGTTCTGGCCATCAACCCTTGGCTTTGTCAAGCTTGGTCTTCAGGATTTTCTTGATGATTTTGTTCACAGCTTCGACCTAGCCATTGGACTGAGGATTGACTAGGGAGGCGAAGCAAAGATGTATCTTGAGGTTGGAACAAAATTACTTGAACTTTGCGCTATCAAATTGCCGACCATTGTCTGCGACGATGGTGTGGGGGATGCCGAAGCGACATACGATATTCTGCCAGAAAAACATCTCTATGCGAGCTGTAGTGATGGCAGCTAAAGCCTCAGCTTCAGCCCACTTGGTGAAGTAGTCCACAGCTACAACTATATACTTGACCTGGCCCTTACCCTGGGGCATAGGTCTAATGAGGTCAATTCCCCATTGGGCAAATGGCCAAGGACTGACCATGGCTGTCAATGGTTCAGTTAGAAGTTGTGTGATATTGGTAAATCGCTGACACTTATCGCACTTCTAAGTGAAGGCCTGAGCATTGGTGTGAAGTGAAGGCCAGAAGTATCCTTGCCTAATGGCTTTATGCGCTAGTGAGCGAGCGCTTGAGTGATTGCAACAGATGCCCTCATGAATCTCCCGGAGGACATACTCACCTTCCTTTGGAGGTGGACAATGAAGGTAGGTGAGGTTGAAGCCACGCTTGTATAGGGTGCCATTTATGATCAGGTATCGAGCGGAGCAATAGCAAACACGCCGTGCCTTAGCAGAATCAGCAGGTAGTGTTTGGTTTTGCAAGAACTGAATGATGGGGTCCATCCAAGTAGGGCTGTGATCAATGGTACAGATGAGTAGTGCTTGTGTGCTGGGTTGATCCAAGAACTCGACATGGATATTGCGTCCTATGCCCTGCTCCAAGGACGAGGCTAGCCTAGCCAAGGCATCAGCATGACTGTTCTCAGAACGTGGCACATGGCTTACGAGATAAGTGTCAAAAGTTGCAAGCAAGTGGTGGGTATGCTGGAGATAGGCTGTCATAGAGCTGTGAGTCGCTGAATATCTAAATTTGCTTTGCGCCCATCTCCTTGGCTAGCCGAAGGCTAGTTAGGAGTGCTTCGTATTCTGCCACATTGTTGAAGGCGTGGAATTTGAAGTGAATGGCGTACTCAAGGACAACCTTGTCTGGGGAGATGAGGACGAGGCCAGCTCTACATCCCTGGGCATTGGAGAAGCCATCTACATATAAGGTCCACAAGGGCTGGGTCAGGTCTAGGTTGCCATTGCTGGCGACGTGGACCTGGCTTGAAGGAAGATTGGGTTTGGTTATGATCTGGGTAGCGACCGAAGTTTGGGGTTCTGTGAATTCTGATATAAAATCAGCAACGGCCTGGCCCTTTGTAGTTGGGCGGGGTTTGTAGTGGATATCAAATTCACCAAGTTCCATGGCCCACTTAACCAACCTACCAAAAGTCTCTGGCTTATGCAATACCTGCCTTAGTGGTTGGTTAGTTAAGACATGGATGGTATGCGCTTGGAAGCATGGTCTGAGGTGTCTGGCTGACACCACCAGAGCATAGGCCAGCTTCTCAATATCTGGGTACCAAACCTCGGCATCTTGCAATCCTTTACTAACATAGTGCACCGGATGCTCAGCACCTTCGTGTGGTCGAATGAGCACTGAGCTAACCGCCGTGGCCGAGATGGAGAGATATATGGTGAGGACGTCCCCAGGCTCGGGGGTTGATAATAAAGGAGCCTGACTCATGTACTCCTTGAGCTCGCTGAAAGCCTTGTCACATTTGGCAGTCCAGGTGATGTTTCGTTTGTTGCCCTTAAGTGTCTTGAAGAAAGGGCCGTAGTGATCGGTGGCCTTGGAGATGAACTTGGTCAAGGTTGCGACGCATCTGGTAAGGCTCTAGATGTCCTTGACCGTCTTGGGTACTGTCATGTCTAAAATGGCCTTAATCTTTTCTGGGTTAGCTTCAATACCTCGTTGGCTGATCATAAAGCCAAGGAATTTCCCTGAAGTTACGCCGAAGGCACACTTCATGGGGTTGAGCCTCATTTTATACTGCTTGAGGATGGCAAACATAGTAAATAGGTTAGAGATGTGCTGGGCAGTAGTGCAGCTTTTAACTAGCATGTCATCACATAAACCTCCATGGTGTTACCAATTAGTGGGGCAAAGATGCTTTTCACAAGACGTTGATACGTAGCCCTAGCGTTCTTGAGGCCGAAGGGCATAACCTTTTAGCAATAAAGGCCACGGTCGGTTATGAAGGATGTATAGGCTTGGTCATCAGGGTGCATGAAGATCTGGTTGTACCCCGAGTAAGCATCCATGAAGCTAAGGAGGGCGTGGCCAGTTGTGGTGTCGACAAGCTCGATTAAGGTTGGTGTAGTCTACACACATGCACCAGCCTTTCTTTGGTTTGTGGACCATCACCACATTAGCCAACCAGGTGGAACAGTCCACCTTCTTGGTGAATCCAAGGGCCTCACCCTGTTGTTGGTTACTGCAAGGGCCTCACCCTGTTGTTGGTTACTGCAAGGGCCTCACCCTGTTGTTGGCGATTAGTGGACTTGACTGCTAAAGCATAGCAGCTTTGGGCGCCAAGTTGGTCGCTGTGCACCGTGCCTGTGCCATGGGAGGTACGGAACTTCAGCAGCAGCATATGTGTGGAAATGAAAACCTTAATTTGGGCGAAGGCAGTCAACAATAAGGAAGGGAGTGGTGACTGTCGCCCGCTGGGGTGCTGAGCCAATGGAGATAGGAAGATAGATGCTGCCAAGGGGCTGAACCACATCCCCAGAGAAGCTCACGAGAGGGGTGATGCTTCGGTCAAGCAAATAAGTCGAGACTTGGAGCTCTTTGATAGCATCAGCAAACATCACACTGACCGATCTACCAGTGTCCACCAAGATACGCCCAACATCAAAGTTAGAAATGTTCGCACGGATAATGAGTGGGTCATCATGAAGGAGAATGACACCACGTTCCTCTTCCTTGCAAAAGGTAATGGGGGCCCAACCTGATTTTTGTGTCTTCGGCAGGCGTCCTTGCTACGTGCTGAAGACCTAGTGCGCATAGGTGGAGCGGACATAATGTTTAATGGAGTTGTTGGAGGTCCTAGCCATGGTAGGACCACCACTGATAGTGGAGATCATGTTGATCTGCCGTTGGTGAGGGCTAGGTGGGGGTGGGAGGTTGTGCACATATTTGTTCAGCTTCCCATTCACGGATAAGTCCCTCAATGATGTTGTGCAAGTCAACACAAGATTCGGTATCGTGGCCACTGAACTGATGAAAGCGACAGAAGACACCCGCGTTTGGCATAGGCTTGCTGGACGGTCTCCTAAAGGGACACTTGGGTATCATTGGTGCCTCGTGCACCAGAACATTCTCATAGGTGGTGTTGAGGGTGGTGAAGACCTCGAACCTAGGCTTAGGTGTGAAGGGGAGTAGAGCCCGATCACTTGTCCTGGGAGGGTTGCTTCCACTGGACTGGTGGTGGTTGCTATGTCTACCACGCTTGCTACTGCTGAAGGTATGCTGGTAGCCATCCTTTCGTTTTGGGTGCGGGGTACCCTGGGTACTTGGGGTAGGAGAAGAATGCTGAGGCGGGGCTGGGGTGGGTACTAAAGCAGGTGGAGGATCACCAAACATGTTGCGTGCAGAAGTGGCTGCGGCACGCTTGGAGTTGAAGTACTCAGCCTTAGTGTGAACTGCTACTTGCTTCATTAACTTTGCATATGTGTTCCAAGAGTTGCTGTGGACCAAGTACCCAAACTTGGACTAGCAGAGGCCACTCTTGAAGGCACCAAAGGCAGCGCGGTTGTTAGTCTCTGGGCAGCCGGATTGCATACTACCGAAGGGGCTCATCCTCACCCTGCCGAATACAGGCGATTAGTCTGGATAATGAAGTGGTCCAGGAAAGTCTACTTCAAGCTGTCAAATGAGTTGATGGTGCGGGTTTAAGCCTGTATAACTAATTGAAGGGAAGATGAGGCACATCCTTTGTCACTAAGGCCCTTGCATCTGAGGGCAAACTGGAAGAAGTGGATATGGGTAAGAGGATCCTCTGTGCCAGTATAGAAGGCGATGCGGAGCGATTGGATGTCCTTCTCCTGGTGGTAATTGAGGATATGCTCGGTAAAGGGCCCAAGTTGTGGCTTGGCCAAGAGGGGTTGGTGGCAGCGCTGCTGCTCACTCTCCAAGCGCCAGACCTTCTCGAAATGAAGTCTCATGGCCGGGTGGGCATGAGGGAGAGTCTCGGGTGCTGAAGGTCT